CCGTCCCATGGGACTTTCAGCTGAAAGGCTATCCTGAGTCTACTAGCATTTAAATTAACTTCAAACTTGAGCAAAACCTGTCAATTTAATTTAGCTTCATTATGAATAAGTAAATAAATAAATAAATACAGACAAGAGCATTTTTAATCCCTTCATTAATATTATGAATAATAAAAGAAGCTGATTAAATCAAAACAACAAAGAATAACTTGGTTTATATACTAATCAATCCTCAATTTAATACAGCTAATCTTTTACAATCATCTATCTACATACTTTTATAAATTTTATTTTTAGTATCAATTTTTATTTACTAAGCAACCTTATATAAATTACTTGTGAGTATATATATATTTTATATTTTATAATTATTTTTATTTAATTTTCACATAATTATTACTATTATCTACATCTAATATAAAATGATTACATTTTAATATTCATAGCTATATTTCATAAAATGAAATTAATTTTAACGGCACTATAAGCTTAGATGGAACTTGAGACTAATTTGCAATTAAACTATCAGATTTCTAAATACGTTTAGTTTGTAGCATCAATTAGGCTTGACACTAAGTAAGTTATTAAGAATTTCTTGGCTATAATTGAGCTGATTATCCCTGGGTAGTAGTAGTGGATATTTAAAGGTTTTAGTGCTGCATAAATGATGGTGGCACTTTGTTTAATGTAGCAGACCAACAATGGTGAGTAGTAGGGATGTTGTGTTAACTAGGCTACAGTCATCATTATTATCAGGTACTGAGTCAACTTATGAAATTGGCGATCATAATTATTTTCTTGCAATTCTTTGATTGTTGCAAAAATCTCTTTCTAATATTTATTTTGTTCTGTTCAGTCTCTAGCTTAAAACTCACTGAGGTTTAACATCTCTTTTATTCTCTTCATTAAAGTTAGTGTAGGTCTTCCGCTGCCTTATCACTAAGTGCGTCAAGATTTTCAATATCTGAGGTACAAAAGCTCAAGTCAGCCCAATTTTTCCTATGCTCTGTCTCTTCTTGATGTTTCCGTTGTTTAACAGCTCTACTATACTCTTGATGAAAGCTGGCCTAGGTCTTATGCTTTATCATTGAGTGCTATAAGAATTTCATTCTTTCTGATGTCAACAGCTCTACCATTACATTAATGAAAGTTAGCCTAGCTCTTCCTCTGCTTTATCTTTGACTGCTATGAGAATCTTAATCTGTCTGATGTTCAACAGCTCAACCACCATACTCTTGATGATAGCTGGAATTTATATATTCCTCAGCCTTACCTCTGGACAATGCATTCATCTCATCTGTCCGATGTTTACCGGTTCTACCATACTTTTGATGAAAGTTAGCCTAGGGCTTCTTCCTCTGCTCTATCTTTAACTACTATGAGAATTTTAATCTGTCTCATGTTCAACAGCTCTACCACCATACTCTTGATGATAGCTGGCATTTATATATTCCTCTGCCCAATCTCTGGAAGATGCATTCATCTCATCTCTCTGATGTTTAACAGTTCTACAATTTCTCTTGATAAAAGTTAGCCTAGGTTTTCTTCTGCTCTATTTCTGACTGCTGCAAAAATCTTGATCACTGTCATACCCTTGAATATATTTAGTCTAATTCTGCCTTTGCAACAGCCTGCTGTGAGAACCTCAATTTTCTGACATCAACAGCTCTTCCATGCTATGAACGTTCTTCCACTGCATCTTTTCTCATCTTTTTTCATAATATAAATTAGCGATGTATACTCTAATTGCCCTTACGAAAGTGATTAACTCATTACGTTAAAAAGAAGGAAAAGTTATTTTTTACCCTACCCTGAAACCTCTCAGAAAAGAATTGAAAAGCAAACAAGACTTGATTGACAAGTGAATGTTGCTACATTTTTAAAGCAAATGGCAATGAGTATATGCTCAGTATAAAAATTATTCATCATTCAAAAAAAAAAAAATCAAGTGCCTGAGTTTAATGGACCATAACAAAGGTAACATAGGTGAATATGATGCATGCAATATTCATGGCAATATTAGATAAAGGCATATAGATGAGTTTAGCACACGGAATATCATTCCATATGGAATATTAACGATCATATAAGGAGTTTTCCACCTGCTGTCTGAAATGTTCTGGGAGCTATCTCATTACATTCTCATAACTCCAAAGATGTACAATTTCGGCAATTGACGGTTACCATAATTGACTGGTGTCTTTAACGGGGTCAAGGGAGATGGCTCTGAAGACCATTGGATATTGGATACTTCCCAAATATAATCATATCACACTTTCTTCTTTTCTTTCTGAGCTAAACTTAATTTTTTACATATTCATTTCTAAAATTCAACAGAAGCAATCTAAAATGCAATTTAAAATATAAAAAAGATTATATTGCCTGCAATTAACATATATATAACATGCCCTGTTAAAATGTACTTTCTTATTCAAGTTTCTTTATGAATATTGAAATGGTGTTAGTTGAGTCTGTCATCTACCTTTCATTTATGCATGCACATGAGCCTGTCAATGCATATTTAAGAATGCAGCTCACTGTCAATGCACTGTCAGAGCCCAGAGGGATCCAGCCTAACACAAATTGTTGAATTACTATGAACTTTGAATATTTGATAAGTTATTATTCTTACTTTATATTCCTTAATGGCCTATAGTTACCTCTGCCAAAGAGTTAAGTGTTCACTGCTGTCTGTTAGCAAGACTACGCAAAAACTAATGAATGAATGGTTCAGATGGTTGAGGCTTTCAAGTAATCTGACCATTTCTGTTTCATTTGCTTATTTTTTGTCAGTTTTTTTAATTGGCTAGGATAGTACAGACACCAGCACCATTAGAGCTTTTGTGAGTTGTGAACCAGCAAGCCCTCAATGAGCCTTCGAAGTGCTGGTAAACAAAGCAGTGATGTTGGTTTTTTCTGCCTTCCTACAGGTTTCAGCTTAAGACATTTCATGGATAAATTTACATGTTTTCTAGTTGTTTCATGTTTCCGCCTCTTGCGCCTTGAGAGCAGTATCTTAGTGGATATGTGCGCTTTATAAATTGTATTTATTATTATTATTGTTATTATTAATGGGTCATCACAAATTTAGTGGATTGGTACATAATAATCAAAGAAAGACACCTTTCAATATTCGGAAGAAAAGGTCAAAGGACAAGATCAGGGTCTCAAAATTTTGTTACCCTTGAGCACAAAAGAAAATAATGGAATTGCCCCACGTATTCAGGCAGCATTCAAGAAAATAATGTACCTGAATACGATGGGCGATTCCCTTATTTTCTTGAGGGTAGTCTGCAGCACTCAAGAAAAATAATGTCCCTAAATACAACGGGCGATTCCATTATTTCATTGAGGGTATGCTGCAGTTTCGCCCATCATACAGAGTCTGCGTATTGTTGGTACTGTATTTAGGCAAGGGCAGAGGTATGCACTCTATGAAGTGACTACTCTAGTCTACTATTTATCCATACTTTAATTAAAAAATAGTAATTTTAATTGTTTACTTCAAGTCTTCTTTTGTATATCATCTTGCACTTAAGTTATTGCCTTTAGCTCTCTCTGAGAGAATGAATTTTCTTGATGGGATAGATATAATGAAATTAATATTGTTAATATGATTATTTTTCCAAATATATTCTACCTTCTTTTTTAAAACTTTGATATTTTATTAATATATACCAACCAGTCACTTCTTGCAAATCGTGTTTTTGAGATAATGGCCAGAACATGTTGGAATGTCAACATTTTTAAAATCCATTTTACTGAGCTAAACTAAACTTCATATATCTAGACATCATATTATGTTATTATTTTCCCCTTTTTCAACATTAAAACAACATATTTTAACAATTTGATGATGGTTTCTGCCTCAGCAATCTCTAAAATGGTAAACGTTGAAGGCTGATTTCTCAAATACTGTCCTTTGAACAGCTGTAGTTAAAACTCCTACAACTTATAACAAAAATGTTGGATTCAAATAATTATTTTACCTTTTTAAAACTTTTTACTGTTTAACCCTATATTATTAATAACTAAAAATTTGTTTGCGAGGAGTAACTGGTTTGGCTTGTCTTTGCCACATATTCTGTTTTATCTACCTACATGTTTATATGTATGTATTCCTATATATTGTCGAATTAACACAGGTATGTATGTATGATAATGAATGTGCACATTTATGAGCTGTGACAAAATAAAATGTATGCAACAGTACATGATATAAATGTTAATAATATCAGACAAGAATGTTTGATAGAGTACAGAACAATAACATACTGTAAATATTTCAGTAGAGCAACCAGGCCTGGAAAAATTTTTTTTTGTGCCTCCAACCATGAAAATTATCTCGATAAAATAACTCCAGTATCATATGTTATCTGTACACTACACAGACCAACAGTTTATTCTTATTATCCCCTCCCCCCCTGAAATTCCTCTGGACATTTATACTGTCCCTGACTACCGGTCGTGCACTTTTTCCAGCCCTGATAACAACACATGCAAGTACTCGAGCAACTTTCCATTAGTGAATTACATAATTATCAATTGCACCCTCTATATGCCATGCTATCATAGAGGGATATATCAATTTTATTGATGTTTGAGAATAGCATGTAGTTGAAAGGACAACAAACATGAGTAGACCAGATGATGCGATGAGCGGAGTATCGTTAACTATGTCACCAAACAATGCAATATTTTGTTAGAATTTGAAACAAAATGCGCTTTATATTCCAGATGCTATTTGAATTTGATGTTGGTATGGTCACGACCAAAACGAAATTTACCTTCGTTTTCATGCTCTTCCAGCGCTTCAGTTGGTCGAATCGTGGTGACTTTGGTGGGACATAGCCGGGAAGTGATGGGAGGGTTGATGCATGCCCGGGCATGAGAAGCGGTGGTACTTTTCCATTCACTACGTTATCACTAGGAGGTGTTTCATCCTCCACCACCGATAAACGGATGTCTTGAAATTTATGTTTATAGAAAGTTGACGTTACCTTAAGCTGAAGACTTTCTGACCGAGATAGATTTGATCTACGGACTGGCTGCCCTTCCTCTTCCTCGGAACATTCATTCAGAATATCCATGACGTTGCACGTGTCAAGCATTGACAAACTGTCATCTTTCATTTCAAACTGATTTATCATAGACCCAACAATATTGCGATTATGCATTTCATCTACAAGACACAATCAGAAAAAAAAAAAAAATGTATGTCAGTTGGTATAAAAACCAACTTTTAAATTCCAAACAAATGTGGTAAAATTATAATAACAATTGCAATTAATATATACTGTGCAAACTTCATTAAAAAATATGTTCAAATTACAATAAAATAGATAAGAACACAAAATTTACAATATAAAATTATAAAATAAAATAAAATTATATACAGCTAAAATGCTTACAGCATAGTGCATTATGGGTAAATAGGAGAATCCACCTTTTACTTTGGACAGTGGCCAACGATCAATCATAGGATACGGTTAGACAATTCAAAGTCGGGAGCTTTTGATTTATGCAGCGACGTATCACTGAAACGGACTCACACATCCGTGACCGTCCTGCACAACATCAATTCAGGCCGAATCCCAGAATCCATGCGATGAGAAATTAACATTCTCGCATGCGCAGACAACTTTTTAGGAATATCATTACTTCCAAGGCCCTACCGTCGATGTGCAATCAAAAGTTCCCTAGTTACGGGAGGACGACTGTAGGCCTGATAGGAAACGACATGAGCATGGGAAGAGAATGCTACTTAATACCTACCCATGACTTCTGCATCCTCATGCCTCTGCACCATTGGTATCACCTTGCCTAGGTTGGTTGGAGATGGTGATGTTATCACCTTACCTTCAACTTCATCAGGGCTCAGTGGATTTCTATCGCCTGGATAAAACACTGCAGTAATAAGTGCAATGATGAAGACAACGTAACAATTAATAAATTACTAATAAATATAACACTTGGAAAAGCTCTCTGAGAAGAATATGTACACCTTATAAAATAATATTATTATTAAGTAAATTAATTATTGTTGTAAATAAATTATATTTATATTATTATTATAAAAGAATATAAGATGAAATCATATTTATATGTTACAATTTTTGAATTAATTGTATTCATTTATCTAAGTTTTCTTCCAATGTATATTGTGCATATTCTTGAAAGCATACCAAAAACTAATCACAACAATATATGAATTAGGAGTCATGTGCCTATATATGGTCATGATGTGATGTCATCATGACCATATCCCATACTTTTGTCAAATAAAATTCTGTAGCTTAACATTATTTTTAATAAGCATTCAACAAGATACACTGCATATGTTAACCAAACAATCAAAATGTATTTTCTAATCAACAAAATAATAAAATAAATACTATTAATACATTCTGTACATAGATCTTTTAAATGGTTAGTAACAAATTTAAGAAATAACAGTAGTAAGTCTGCAAACCAAGTAAAATGGAACTGTTTCTATTATTAGTGAAAGTTAAAACATTATTTTGAAGCTTTCAAATGAACAGTTTTCTTCAAAATTTAATTGTTGTTAGCTGTACTAGATTTGAAAGATATCTAACTTGACAGATAAAACAATATCATCATCACCATCATCATCATCACCTCACTATTTCTAGACATAATGCTCTGAAGCTCTGTTTACACTATCAGATTTTATGTGACTAAGAAATGTGATATGCCTATTTTGGAGTGTAATATGACATCATCATGCCCATATATGGACACATTACACATATTTTTCACATAAAATTTGATGTGGACAGGGCTTAACATGGGCATATCACACAAATTTGTCACATAAAAAGTCATAGTGTGGACATAGCTTAACATGGGCACATCACACAAATTTGTCACAAATTGTCAATGTGGACAGAACGTAACATGGACATATCACACAAATTTGTTACAAAAAGTCAGTGTGGACAGAGCTTAACAAAAGAATAAATAAACTGACAAGAACTTAGCTTTACCTGAGCCAGTAGAATTGTTTGAAGGATTGCCCTTTATAAATAATATGTTCATTAGTGATTGCCGCTTATCCTTCTTGTTGCAAACTTTATCTAATTGGTCCACACATGGGGATGTTCTATGTATTGTCATTTCACAATCTAAAATTAATGTGAGAAAAATTACGATAGATTTTAACGCAAAAACCACTTATGACGACAATAAAAAGAACACCACCACAAGATCAATACCCTTCCAATTGTGAATACAAACTAAATATCATGACCAACAAAAAGAATACATAGTTAAATTGTTTTAAATTTTTTATTCAGAATACATAAATCATTAAAAACACAAATTCATAATAATAATATTAATAACTTATAAAGCTCTGGTATCCGTTTAAGAGAAAATGCTCATGATTTGTTTTAAATTCATGTGTGGAGGATAAAGCCTGAATTTGTCTTGAAAGAAAATTCCAGACTCTAGCCTCTGCAACCATCAGTGGTCTTTAACCCCAAGAGTTTATAAATTTGGGTTCAACTAACACTAACTTCATTTTGTTAACAAGCTTATAAAATGGCAAATATAGCATAAAATTAATATAAGTTTAAATCATTGAATGCCAATCACCTTAGATATAGTAAATTAAGTTTAACTAAGAGTATAAATGGGTATCTGGCAGGAAGTCAGTAGTATACAAACAATGAATGTTTGTGAGTGCAAGGGGAAAAATATATTTTCATGAGATTGACTGTTCCATTCAAATGAGACGGACCTAAAATGTATCCTTGTCATTTGATATTTTATGAAAAATAAATTTAGATATACCTTTCTTCAGAATAGAACAGTCCATCTTCTTTCAACCAATAAAACATTGTATAAGGTGGAGACATGCAATGGGACAAAATGAATGGAACAAAAAGTGCACAGATGGAACTAAATTTCCATGATGTGTGAAAAATAGTGTAAATAACCAATCACATGATATGAAATCCACCAATCAAATAACTAGAATCTATTTAGTTGTGTTATAATTTGAAACACCAGATTTAATAAATGAAAGTAATACTCCACATAATTCAGAATATTACACATAGTGCATGATGGAATTTATATCAGGGTAACCGATGAAAAAACAAAATGTAATGAATTACTTTAATTTTACTTTTCAGGAAACACACAATAAAACTTACTTTGACATTGCAATCCTTGGTAGCCTACTCCCCATAATAATCCTTTACAGTGATGGCAGAAGACTGGACCCGTACAGTGATAATCAATAAATGTATGACCTTTGACTGTTATCTGAAATCAAGGTTCAGTTTTTAGTACTAGTAGTTTATCTATTTGGCCAAATACATAGTACAAGACATAAAAGTTAGGCACACACTGTAATAACGATCAACATGTTTCACAGGAGAACACAATGCAACATATAATTTTTGCTCAGTCTGCCACTGACAATGAGCAGACGTCGTCATGCCGCCAAGCGCTGACAGACAGCGGAGATGGATTCGTTTTAATTGTAGTTAGATTGTAGATATAGGGCAGGCAGATTGTATTTAAATTGAAAGTAGATTGTAGTTAGCCTGTAGATAATTTATATTTTTATTATAGTCTTGTAGTTAGAGTCTATATATTCATATTTATATATTTCTATAAATAATTTACAAGACAGGTAATTTGGTAACACAAAATATTTCAGTTATATATTTGTAAAGGCCGATGTTAAGCCTATATTTATATACTTGCCTACATTAATAACAACAATATATAAATATAAAATATAAAAATAATTTTAAAATCATGTTCGTGTATTTAATGACTTACTTTTGACTTTCCTTTCTTTCCTATTTTTAATTTACTTTTATCCTTTGCAGCGAAACTTTGGACTCTTTCAAGGAGACTGTTCTCCTTCACTCCAACTTGTTTCATGAATGTGTTGATGGCTGCTGCCATAGCAACATTCTTGTCTTCCTTTTCTGCTTGATTTCTGGAGAAGGAAACACATAATAAACGTTAACAAAATCTTTCAAAACCAAATGAATAATAATCTTGGGAGTAATTTTTCTTAGAATAATTTATCTCATCATCAATGTTATTGCCAACTTTGATTCTATGACTTGACGCCATATGTTGCAACATTTCTTCAAAATAGAATGTCTAATAAGCCGTGCAGTTCAGACAAAATGTAGGTTTTGTGCTGTGTGTATTCGAAAGTGGTGGTTAATCGAGAGCGATGCTTATTAGATCACTGTTAACCATAGTTTAATACTGTATGACCAAAATTAAACCTTAAAATAAAAGCTCATCTGTGTTGGTGTGCAAACAAAAATATTTTACTATGAAAATGACAGCTAAAAATTTCAAGGTAAGAAATTCTCTGTTGTGTGGAGACCAAATGTTTAACTTGGATTCTACATAATTAAACCTCTTTATTTTAAATTGTGAATAATTAAAATCACAAATCAAAATTAGGACTAACTTTGATAATCGCTCCAGATGGGGCATCAGTGTCTGCTCAACAACTCTCAGCTCTGAAGCTTTATCCATGTCTTCGTTGCTTAGCATCTGGTCGCCGAAGATGGAACCAAGACCAAGTGCGCGTTTACTACGGTAGTCTCCAAGAAGATCGCGGATCTCAGTTGTGGCGACATCACGAGCGACCACAAAAACCTTCTTCATAGCTTGTTCATTGTCCATACTATTTGACAATATACTTTCTGTAAGACAACAGAACAAGAAAACATCATAATTAAAACGACAAGCTGAAATAACTTTTTTCTAAAACACTACACGATAGGGCATATAGATTTCAAAGGCAACAAATTGTATTTAAAAATTGGATGATCTTTGTCTCAGGTAAATAGTAGTGTTTCAATAATATTATGATTGTAATATTAGTGTTTAATGTAGAGCCAGTGTGAATGCAAACTCTATCAGGGGTTTCAATGATAAAACCTAAAGTTGGCCGGGAACAACTGAAGCAAACAAATTCTTGTAATGAAAACAAGGCAGTCCTAGTATACAGTATCAAAATTGCAATTTTTTTACAAAGTCAATTTATCATGAATATCCAATAGGAAGATTAAGTAACTAAAGTAATAGGAAAATGCAAATTCATATTTACAATAGCTAGAATAATGGTAAGAATCATAATTATGCTTAATTGATGACCTTTTATTTTCACAATAACAATTTTAAAAGTGACTATTATGTTTGTGTAGTCTTGAGACTAATATGCTTATGAATCTTACCAATTTTTTGCACCACATTTTCTTCTACTTGTATTCGCAATGGCTGCAGAAAAATGAGAAAAATAAAACAAAGGTGATGTGAAACATTTTTACAATACAAAGGAGGCAGGCAAAATTGGGGAAAGAGAAGAGAAGAAACATGATATATTTCCACAGCAACACAAAAAAAATAAATAAATAAAAAAAATAAATAAAAATAAAATAAAAATAAGCAACAATACATTTACTTACCCCTGTTGGTGCCAAAAATGTTGAGAAGATTTCATAACACCATTTCTTCATGTCTTTTAATGAGCCTGTCCCATAGCTTTCAGTTACTAAGTAAAAAAACTAGAAACACAAAGAGTTAAATATAATTATATAATGAAAACATTTTTTTTAAAACAATATATTTCAGTGAAATATAACAATAATAACTCAGTAGAAATAAATTATCCATTTTCAAGACAATATTACTCAGAATAATGGAAGCGAAAAATGGAAGTGGTTTGGCGCAGCAAGAACGGTTATGTTTCCCAACCTCGAGGTCGAGTTTTAATCCCTCACTGTGCATTTCGCAGCCTTGTAACAAGACTTTGCTAAGCATCGTCATCATCACATTATTTCATGTATTTAAAGGGCCCCTGAATATCAGCTGACCTTCTAGGACACACTGGAATGGTCACCCTCTATAAATATGGTGAAAAAAGTTACTTACCAAGCTGGAAGGATCACTGTTGGATATGAGGTAGTGCATGAAGACGGCCATATGGGCCGGCCGTTTTACTAATGATTCTAAGTCGTTAAATGGTCCGTGATCTTCAAGCTAAACAGAAAGAAAATATATAAATTTATATAAATTCTCCTATCTATTATACTTGTGCTTCTATTAAGCAATCTAACATCTTTATTAACTACACTTAACTTTCCAACCATCAATCTAAATTAAATCTAAGTGACAGCAATTCATAAACGATAAGATGGATATATATCAAAGCTAACCTATAAAAATTAATTCTTATCATGAGAAATTGTTTTTAATTTACAACTAAATTTGTTGGCATTTTGTAATGCTGGAAGTGCCTCCTCTATTTAATAGTTTGATCAAATATAATTCTAATAGGTGATGCCAGAAAAGGTAAAACAATGAAAAAGCTCTGGGTAAACAGAATTAAAGAGAGAAGCAAGGTTATCTATCCTGCTAAACACAGTGTTTTACAGACTGAGTGAGGGTTTATGTGGTTCAGTAGAAAAAAGGACAGGAGTGATTTAACAGTCAGCAAGGTAAAAAAGAATAAGGAATGACACAATATCAGAGGGGGAAAGAAACAATACAAATGTTTATCTGTTTTGAATCTATATTTGGATATAATTGCTTACATGATTTGTTTTCTGGGTTCTGACAAACTGATTTTAAGAAAATTTGATTTTGTCACAGACTGCATAAATACGTATTATATATGAAATAGTATCAACAAACCAACCTTCAAATCTTCCATTATAGATACTTAAATGTTAACAGTAACATAGCAAGCTCATTACAAACAAAAGTAGCATTTATGTATGACACATATGTAAACCAAATTCTACTTGATATGTATTCTTTACAGATGAACAATTTAAAAACTACTACTGAACAATACACAAAAGTGGCTGAAAACAAATGACTTATAAATTATCAACAAAAAAAAGTTTTAAACAACATTGGTACATAGTGGATGGGAATTAAGACCATGACCACCTCAAAAAACAACAGTAATGTAATCATATCATGTGAACTTATGGAAAAATAATGGGATAGGGATGGTAGTTTGGGATAAGTGTGGGATTAGGAAATGCAATTAGGGATTTGGAAGGTAGTATGGGACTGGAAAATATACAGAGTATAATAGGAAAATCTTGTATTGGTTTTAAAAGGTAATGTGGGAATGGGAAAATTAGTATAGAATTTGGAAGAATAATATGTGTACTAATACACAAAATACTTGTTTTTGAGAAAATTTGGGTGTTACTATCCAACAAAAACCATGCTACATCCTTTAAAATATGAAAAAATGATCAAATTTCAAGATGGGTAACATTCATTTAGCAATATTAAATGGCATATAATCACTAAAAAAAAAACAAACCAATGAACATACAAACATAATTTTTTTTATGAAATGTGGTATATTCTGATGTATATCAAAATATGCATGATATAAATACAAAGACTGGTAGTAATATTCCATTACATGTTTTAATTATGAATTTAAAAAATATGTATTATATATTATCCACTTGATTTTAAGCATATTGTCTTTATTTAATATTACATGGAAATAAATTAAATGCATGACTCAGACAACTATATAAAAAATATATAATTTAATAAATGTAAAAGCAATGCAACTTAAATGGATAAATTAAATCTATTGATTTTTAATTTAAGGATTTATAGTTAAACAAATGAAATAATACCAATGTTTATACTGGTGAGGGATAAGTTAAATTTTTTAGTTCACCACTCTGAAACTTAGGACCATGGCCGGATGATGTATGCATGTATTTAAGTGGTAAGCACATAATAAAGATACAAAAGAAAAACTAACTGTTGCATTTGTGAATTACAAAACAATGCCTGATACAATGCACATACCATAAGGTACCTCACTGTAGCAAAGGATGTATGCTAGAATGCATGCATTCATGAAGCATGTATGAATATAAAAATAATTTTTAATATGGCACTTTTTCGACTTTCTGCCCAGAAACTGTTCTCATTATTGAGATGTTCTTTTAGCATTACAACATTTTAGGTTTTGGAGAGCTAATTCTCAAATCTGCCATATATTTTTCTCCCTTGGGATGTGCAAGGCAGAACATATAGTGTACTACTGAAAATATAATAGTGTATTGTTAGTATACATGCAATCATACTCAAATACGGAAGAAATATATACAGCACGTTTACACAGTATAGTAAATATCAAAACAGGTGTGGAAAACAGAGCAGGAAATCCAAGGTTCTTTCCAGGATTTAAATTGAGCCCGGAAAAAATGCAATCCAAATGAGTGATAGTGATTTTCCATAATCACATTCTTCATTTTATATCATTTAGCAAATCAGGGATTTGAGATTTAATTTGTTTTCCATTTTAGGCAACAAATGTTTTTTTTATTTACTATTTCCTTTGGCTTCAAATTTAATATTGTACTTTGACTATACCTGTCATATATCAATTTATTTTTATATCATTAAAAAAGAATGACTAGCTAAGATGCCAAAAATTTGGACACTGGAATCAGATGTGTTTAGACTCTGGATATTCTGTGACTAAGGGGTGCAAAAACAAATTATTAGGACTATGGTCTGGGTAGAACTGGTGCTTAAGGACTGGGATTAATTATTAACATATTAAATGCACTAATAATTAAAGGCAGACAAGTAACAATATACACCAAGACTTACATTATTATAATTATGATGCTAAGAAAAGATGAAAATAAATTAATGCAACTAAGTTAAACTTCTTAGAAACATTAAGGTTATACTACCTACAATAACTACTGAAAAAACCTGAAGACAAACTCCTTTAAGAAGTTGAATAGCTCGTTAACTTGACCAAACACAAGATTAACATTCAATGATGAAGGTAAAGATGAAGGTAAGGCCAAAATTTCTGGGATCACAGGCCGGGATGCCCATCTCTATGGTGTTTGGGCCAACTCATGCTAGGCTGAGAGAGTTCCAACACAGCCAGTCTATTTTAATACCATCCCACATAAGCCGGTACCCCAATCATATTTCCTGGGTAGATATAGCATCTTGCTAAAGGACACAGTGACTCGCACAGCAAAGGGTCTATAGCCCCAACCTTAAGGCTGGGAGTCTGCATCAGTCTTTGCGCCAATAGAGGGATTCGGCGATGTTTGTTTACTGCTGGTTATGTGACTTACCTTGGGTATACATGAAAAACATTACAGTGCAATAGTATAAGAAAAGGTAATGTTACGTTTGCGAAAACAACCACCCACTGTTAAGGTGAAAAATAAATGGGTAGGAAAGGCAGCACGATTGTTCAAAATAGTGTTTATTTATTTATCCTAGTGTTCTCCAAGGATTGTACGCTTCGATATTTAAGTGATCCTTCATAAAGCTTAGCTAGTCCTAATATCGAAGCATAGTTTGGAGGTCGAAGACCATCATGCATAACTAAATATGCCGTAGATGTGCAGGGGCCTAGGCCTAACATTTGTCGAAAAATTTCAATGTTTGCGGCCAGTATCCTTTACAGCATTAGCAAACCATCAATTTGGTATAGTTTACTATTAATTATGATGATCTTTACAGCAATAAACAAGGGATGGCCGCAATAGCAATCTCCATGTGAAACACCACTGCGCCAGTCGATTGTTTATATCCAACATCCAAGGTAGGTCACGTGACGCCCATCGCCGAATCCTTTTATTGCTTCAATGACACAAAGATCAAAACAAATAGATTAACTGATTTACAAACCATTTTTAAACCTAAATCCTCAAATTGATTACTAGCCCATTTAAAGGTTTATGCAAATGAAGAATATTATTAATGAACCTTTTAATTGACGAGGAGTTTTTTTTTATTCCAATTTATCAACTGAAAGCGAAAAACTTAATACAAAATATTGAATTATTAACCCTAAGGATTTATTTTATGTCAAACAGATGATATATCTTACAAATTGACAAATTAATCAGAGATAACAACCGAAATGAAAATAACTTTGATGATCTTCACCACCCCCCTCCCCCCACCTAATTTCCATCTTACGGTGCTTATATGCACCAGCTTTACAAGATATGTTTACAAATAAATGATTGGATAAGGATGGATAGAGTCTAAGCTAAAACAATACTCACTATGAACAGCTGGCTGACAACCAATTGAATAATGGAAAACTAATTTTAAACATGCAGAGGGATAAATTATTTAAGTTTGAGCCAACTAATAAATACAACACTAAATGTAAGTCAGCATTAGTCTAAAATATTACAGATGATGCAAAAATATGATGGGGGATTGGAAGAGGAATTGAATGTATGATCTCATTCTGATGGAAGTTTTTGACATCGTTATGTTTAACTACAACAGCGATTATCACAGAATGACGGAATGGAACTTTGTACTAAAGAAATGATTATAAAAATGTGGAGCATTGGAATGACATCAGAGATGACAAATGCCACAAATTCAAAAAGGAAAAAGAGGAACTTACAGGATTAAATTTATTATTAGTACAGTTAGTATTGCCTACAACTGGTGAAGTCTAAAGTAAGAGAAAATATAAATAAAGTGTATATAGAGTTGATCGCTTTGTGTTATAGTTATGATTTAAGAGTAGATGTAAGAAAGTGTGTAAGAAATATATTTTCAAATTATTGCAAATTATGGGCTAAAGATCAGGTTATCAACCAGACAAATATGAAAATAACCACTAGTCTTAATAACAAGTTATTCCAGTAACTAAATGCTAAAAACCAAATTGAGGCAGCGGTAACTAACAAAGCAGCAGGAGGGGAAAAGTAACTAATTAATTTTTTTACGTGGCCTAAAGCCGACACAAATGACCTTTAAAAAAGTCAATTTTGTACTTAAAATTTATCGTTCAAGATATTAAAGAGAGACTATTAGTGCTTGTAAAAGAAATGTGTAAAAGAGCGTTTAAATTCCTTTTAGCTCTTTAAAAACAATCACTCCTGTCTTGGTAGAGCACAACTTTCAAATGTGTCATTTTATTCACATATTATTTTTTTTTTATACTTACGTTTTCTCCATCAGACTGGAATTCTTCGTCCTCCATGCACATAATTTGTGATTGTGACCTAACATGGCCATCATCATTGGATATTGTATGGTACACTGGCTCCATGCCTGCTAAATGCGATTGTGGGCTTGTACCGAGTTTACATGTCTGTAACATAAAATAGAAGGAAATGATTATTCAAATTTAACAGACACAACATAAGTGACTCAAGCACATACTGTACTACAAATATTATTATATTACTTGTAATGTACAACATATTATTTTACAACCATATTTAAAGATTTATAGTGTTTGTGTCAAGCACTTTGCATCCTTTCTATGCTTTCACTTGCAAAAACTAAAAATTGTTCTATGCAAATTAAGACGCATAAATAATAATGTTCATATATTATTTGGATAACCCTTAACTAGGGTGGTAATCAATTTTAGGATTGTCGCAGTTAGCAACTTAATAGCTTAGATCATGTGCCACTGAAAGTGTAAAAATTATCTAAATAATCGTAGGCAGAAGCTGGAGGGAGAGGCAAATTAGTTCCACTGGATGGATTAAAGTATTAAACAAGAAATATTTCCTATAAAAAAATGCTGCAAAATCTTTAACTTATGGCTGGTTTATATTTCCAAACTTAATAAATTAACATATTCTTGAAGATGACCTACCATCTCCAATGCATTTCTTTGATGGTATGACACATAAACACATAAGTTTTCATTGGAATAAGGATTTAGTTGTGCATTCTCAATTTTCGCACCCACCAGGCCAAAACTAGCCTATGCCCCTGATGAGCAATTCAATGTATAGTATGTAGTCCGACGCACGACTAGGTTGCCGGATCAAAAATTTAAAAAAATAAGTTACCTATCCAAGTAACGTTATTTAAATTGACAATGTCTAATATTGTGGTCTAAAAGTACATTTTGTGGCCAAAAAAACTCACCCCATGAAACCTACTAGGGATTTTTTTATTCTGGGCCGGCGACCGAGGCTCTCATCGGCCCCTTGGTTCAGAGCCCTCCATTAGAGATGTCGGACCCCTTGTCGACAAATTCCTGGAGCCACCGCTGGTAGTGTGTGCCCAGCTTTTGCCTTCAATTTATAGGATCTTGTATCTATTCAAATTGTACCAATTTGGTATAAAAAAACATTACCTCTCCGTCACCATCGTCTATAAAACCATGTCGTTGAATGGGCGGGGTTGTGTTTGGCGAACTATCTGCAGCGCTATCGCTGTCAAGGGAAATACCAGAGGATAAAAAATCAAGCTGAAAGAAAAGAAATACAATTTGTAAAGAATATATGCATATGATAAAAGAATCCAACAACAAAGCAGTAAGTTTACACTCATTATTGGTCTAAAACCAAACAAATCCTTTCCCAATTCAAATATGATAATTGAAAAATATTGACTACATTTTTGCCTACCAAAGTAATGAATTACATCCATAATCGTAAGAAAAAATAAATCTACTACATTATTATAGTAATGGCTTCCATTTAAATAACGCATAATACAGTGCAATGTCTCTATGAATTCTTTACCCATAATCATTATCATAAAATTATATGTCTTAGAATTATATGAACACTCATCTACAAATATCTTTAACAAATCAATTTTATAATGAAAATATGCAATATGAATATCATGCATGATTGAATTGTCATTATAGGTCATGAATATTCATATATGCTGCATGACCTTGAAATAATTAAAGAAAATCGTAAACATAACAAAGTCCTTGTTGCTAGTATAGCTGACATATAGACTATAGTAGATTAAATAAGATATACCACAATCTGTTATAAAATATATTTAAACTGGTTGATAATAATATTATTATTGTTTGAAGCTTTGCATGGCAAATTAACTACCAATAAAATATGTATACGTCAAAGATAAGCCTGTAAAGAACTACTGTGTAACTAAGATTGATTTAATAATTTCTGGAGAATATGATATACTGCAAACCTATTCAATAACTAGTAACAATGTGATTATTAAAATATACATTTTAACCAGGAGACCCAAGTTTTAATTTTAAATGGGATTATTTTGTTGTTCATGCAAACTGCTTCATCTTATGAAATTATATATTATGATTTTTTAAATTATTATATTAGAAATTTTACATTTGTAATGCAACAATTTTTAGTATAAATTCCCTTTCTGACAAAGAGAAATAATATTACTGTAACTACACACATAACAAAATAAATTTTTAATCTAATTTTATAATTATTTTAAAACTGTAATATAGAAATTCCTTCGTGGGCAAATGGAAATGAAATTGACTTAAACCATACTAATGATGCAGCAAAACATGTATATTAAGTAAGGATATTCTCAACGTGTACTAAAAACATGATAAAAAATTAAAGTACTAAAACGACAAAAATGTTATTTGAAAATGAACGTAAACATCTATTAAACTACTAAATGTTACGGTTAGTTGAAAATTAATGCGACATACAGTGTTCATGTCCAATGTCGTAATCATTTACTTTAACAAAATAGCATCGTATTTTATTTTATATTATTGCATTAAAGCAGTATTTGTAGAAGTAGGCATAATTCAGTTGGCACCTACATTGCCGAGTAAAGATGAACAACCTGTGAAATCTACCATTATTTGGCTTTGATATATACTTTAATTTTACTTTCAATACCTTTGTATATTAATTACATAGCATTAGTGTAGCATTTTTACCACTTGATTTAAATAACTTTTCCTCTACAATCATCAAATTGTCTTGTAAAAATTTAAACAGCTGAACCTTTAGTTGCTATGATGTAATGCCATGAATTCATTTAGTTTTGTACAAACTCACTGATAGTTTGAAAATATTGTATGCACCTCAACGACCACTTTAAGTATCTTTATACGTGCATGATCGCGTTCGTAAGCATTAATAGAGCGGTCGATCGGAAATTAGTCCCTACAGACGATTCTCAGGGATTGAATGATGCTTCTAGCACGCTATCATTTTAAACATAACTTGAGATTATATCAAAGTAATCATAAAATCATGAAATGTCCTTCATTATTTTTGCCAAATATGTCTTCTCATACTTAAATGTGTATTTTGTTTAAATAAATACAACAAAATTCAATATTATACAAATAATGTTTATGAGTGCAATGGGAAGAATATTTTCATGAGTTGATTGGAACACAAACTTTCAACGAATGAAAATACTCTTCCATTATACGAATACAAAACATTTACTATTTGTTTATAACGCACCTAAATAGATCGGTTCGGCCTAGGCCTACCTAGCCTGGCCTATCCTCCATGCAAAACCTAGGCCTAGGGAATCTGTTAGCGCATTTCGAAAAATGAGGCGAATTCTGCACAGTTTGAGCCAGTTTTTGTTTTGAGGTATCATCTACGCAATTAAAATACTTTATAGCTATTTACAGTAAACAAAATCTCTGATACATTGCACACCGCTAAGACAAGTTCAGCAAGAAGTAGGCCTGAGAAAGATTATAGTTAGCGTGACATCATTTCATGGATTTAACCCTCCGGAAAAAGTCAGTCCCGTGTCTTTTTAACCAATCAACAGATTGTATTAAGTTGAAGTCATTTTGTATCCATAGGCAACATGCAATGGACAATACAGATGGAAAAAAAATGCACAGTGGAACAGAATTTCAACGATGAGCGATGAAATGGGCAAAATAACTAATGTCATGCGGTACGAAATCAACCAATCAAATGACTGGGATCTACTTAGGTGTGTTATAATACTGTAATAATAATTAACAATCCTTACAATTTATTAACAAAAAAAAAAAATATATGATGACGACAATGATGAAAATGTAATATAAGGATAATAACGATGATAAAAACGATGATGTCGGTGATGATGATGATAATAGTAATCACTTACAGTAACTTAATATTAAAATTGTGAGCTGGAGAAAGAAGTGGCATGTTGCTTACTGAATGTATCAAGATGTCTCAGGATAAGTCCTGTTTATAGGCGATTCACTTAAATCTTAGTCACTATTTGACTAGCTGTTTTTTTTGTGGATTTTACTTTGCTTCTGCATTTTTGTGTTGTTAAGGTTATTTTTCTTGTTCCTCCCCTTTTACAACAATTTATATGCAAACATTTTTTAATGGTTTTTGATACTTTTTGATGCTTTTAATTATAAATAAAGGTGATGCTCAAAGTCTACTTTCAACGCAGGTATGTGAAAAGTGACCAAGCATGTACAACAGCTGCTATGCGTGGGAAGCAGTCACGCAAGAAAGTACAAGATCTGTGTTAGTCAGACACAATAACGGAAACTTGTATATATACAGTACCTTAATTATGTTACGATTTTTTCTTAGAAGTATGTCACATAAAAACAAGGAAAAACAATTCTTCTCATATATAAGTAACAATGACACTACAGTACAGTCACCCATCACTATTGCAAACTAATTCAAAACTGAGGAGACATTCCGATGAATAAATTTTATTCTCAATGTTGTCATGACAATCGAAGTATCCAAGTCTCCTGCAGTATGAGAAATTCTTAGAATACTTTAAATACAATAGTCTAAATAGAAAATATAATTATCTGTCAACAACTACATAATTACAATCAATTCATCTATACAATACACAATGATATTAATTATTAAGTTCTAATTGCGTTGCCTTTAGGTATCAGGTTTTTCTATGCATCGTTATTGATTACTATTATTTAATGTAATTCCTATCATATTATTGTAATCAAAAATATTAAAGAGATAAATTAACTGAACATTCTACGTCATAACAAATGTATTCCACATAAAAATCAATGTTTATCAACTTTATAAAACACAAATTTCGAGGCATTAATACATTCACTCTTTTTACCTTTGCAATACAAGTAAATCCGTAGCAACACTACACCCTCTTCACCTTGGCACTTCACTAGCTGAAATTATTCTAAGCTTAAGCAAGGAAATCGTTCACGAGCCTGAAACTTCCTAGCAACGCAGTGATATATGTTATTAAGCAGGCAACGTATGGTTGTTAGGCTATTCTTTAAATTGATCAACAAGTGTGTGGTCATACGATGTATAGGCCTACATAACCTGACACTTCCTGGTTTAAAAAAACACCAAAGTACGATTCTTGGGCTTTCCACGCCCTAAGTTATATCCGTTGAAAACACAAGCAAAGGTAATTATAGAGCATACGCCTTGCTATTTCCTAGTAAATACACCGAGTAACAATATAACAAAAACAGGCCGTTGATTCTTAGACTGTCCACGCCTTACAATAGCTCTTTTTAATCTGGAACACAATGTGCTTTCAAGTATAACATCTGACATATAAACCAATTACTATTGATGAGGATTGTACTCTGGGGAAAGCGGCTTGTTATTTAACACCAGAGGATGATTCATCACTTTTGACAATACATTAATAATAATAACAATAACAATAATAATAATATAACATTAACAGCATTTTCAACATAGCCTCTTATTCTGCAACATTTTAATTCAGTAGATAATATAATATAATATAATATATTCAACCTACAGTAGGGTTGTTTTTTTACATTTTACAATTTAGTACATTTAGGTTTTACTTGGTGTCATGTTTTGAAATGTCTTTATTTATTAAACAATATTAAAATCAGTAAAAGTGTATAGTCCCTAGTGGACTGTTTCAGAATGAACAACACAAGGTATAAGATGTAAGATACAAGGTAAACCAATTTATATTCTATAAATTTGTTGTGTTAATTTTTAAAAATTGATCATTAGTTTATTTAAACATATTAAACTTGGTGTTATGCTTGCTGATAATCCATACTCATACTTAATACAATTTGCACATTGAAATCTAAAAATTGCACTTAAGAATTATGTTACTTTAATCTGAATAATTTGCAGATGAGTTTCTCCGATCTAGCTCTATCAATCAATCAACTAATAAATAAATTAATTAAATCAATCAACCATCCAACCAGTCAATCAATCATTGTCATCACTTCTATAAACTTATATTTTACCTTTCATCCATTTTGATGAATTGCAATAGATTTTCATTTTTCCTGTTGTATTATTATTTCTTATTTTATTCTATACATGAAAATATTAAAATATTTAATAATTCCACTAAATTTAATAACAAGATTTTTTGGTTATATAAAAAAATAATGAAACTTACCCTTGGATTGAAGATAGACACATTTATATAAACCAAATTAAGTATGTAAATATAATACATATATGTTAATCTTTGATCAAATTTAATATGGTATTATATCTTTCACTAAGAACAAAAACAGATATTACCAACGGCAGGAAATACAGGTCTAAAAAAAGGGAGTGGGAAGTATCCTACATAGGGTTTCTAACATCAGGCTAAAGCTTTGGAAAACTGTAAATCCAATTCAGGATGTTGACATTTTTAACACTGGAATAGGATGACTAAAAATTTATGTAGAGTATAAAATTGAAACCATGAAGAGATTCATGAATACGGAAGCTAGTTTAGTAAGATAATAATTATTCCATACGCATATTAAAAATCGACAGTTTACTATCTATAGTATCTGTAAATCCCGTTCAGGATGTTGACTGTTTTAAGAGGAATAGGATGAATAAAAATTGATGCAGAGTATAAAATTTTAACTATTTAATAATACGGATGCTACTTTAATAAGATAGTAATCACCTGTTCAAGTCAAATATTACAGAATAGTGAGTATACTATCTCTCATATTGCCTACGGCTTTCCACGAACTTCATTAACAAAGCATATGACCAAATAACCTCTTGAAAGAAGCAGCTATTGTAATGGAAATGTGCTTGGCTGTGTCGCACACTGTATCACGAATATTATACTTGTAAGATATTGCTCAATCTAAGCCTAATTCAGTTCAATAACAAACACCAGCTATGCAGATTTTTCATTAATGAAAAGAAAGCGAGATTAAAAATTCAATGGATCACAGTTCCATAGGAAACAACAATATATAGCAGGTTTTTTTTTGGTTTTTTGATCGATTTATTCAATATGCCCTTTAAAATACGAAACAGAAACTGAACTACATAAACTGATCAAATCACCAAAAAGCATATCGGGGATAACCCTAAAATTGCGAGTAAAAAAAACAAACCCCTATTACTTCCATAGGGGTCCCCTACCTGAACTGACATGGATTCTTAACATAAAATTAAACAATTAAGAACAATGCATGCAAGTAAATGTTCACACTATTTTTATGTACATGTGATGTGCATGATACTTCCTATTTCCTTCCAAACTATCTTTAACCTAATTAAAATGAGTTCAAGTGAATGGTTTTTGCCTCAAATTGACTTTTAAATACCAATACATCAGAATGATATTAAATGTGAAACATTAACCAGTTTATGATGAACTTATTTCAAACAAATTAGGATAATGATTGTTATAGTTACACAGTAAATAAATTCAGTACAACGTGAGACCTTCTTTCGTGAACTTGCCATATGGTGATAACGATTCAAAATACTTTCATCTCTGCTCTTTATACTAAACATGTCAGAGTAACTACTATTTTGTTTTCTGGTTTTAATGAAATGGCTGTGAAACCAGCTGACTTTTGTGCTATATAAATATGAATTCTTTCATACTTATTCAAAACAGGATAATATTTTTGGTTCCAATCAGGATTTGAACCCAGGATTATTGTAAAAAAGTAAAGTGCCTACCTGTGAGTTGTCTAGTCGACTCTTCTGCGACATACTCTCATGTTGTCGCAGACCTTTTGATCGGCTATCGTTCCTATATGCATCCGAGTTATTGCGCTTTAGACTCGTTTTCTTCGTATGCGATTCCTGATGGAAGAAAGTGTCCGGACTTGAACGCTGGCGGGCATGCAAGCCTCCTTGACTCAACTGTATAAAAAGATAGTAGAAGCACAACTTAGACTACAGTAATATAATAGTTGGTATCTCTCAGATTATACAATGACCTGTTTTTTTTTATATCAAGACAATTGTAGAAAGAACAGATACATTGGCACTATTCCAGTCTATTCAAATCATAGACTAGTGAATGCAAGCAACATTAAAAATACCACGACAAACTAAATCTTGTTTCAATTCATTTGATATTCAACACTTAATTTCAAAAATTCAAACCAAATTATAAGATGTTTGAAGAACTTTATCTGTTATTCTTTAAGTCAATTAGGCTGATTTAAAATTTTTTTTCAGAGTTTGCATCTTTTAAGTATGTTCGAATCACCGTACTGTTTCTTGAAAAATATGATTTCAATAAGTGCGTACAAAGCTTGTTTTTCAATTACAGATGAAACAGCCAAGATGTGCCAGAATATGACAGAACAATGACCTTATTTCTTGGAAATCTTCAATCAATAAAATGTAATCTCCTGCTTATATACATTATATATGCATAGTGTACACAATATGCAAAAGCTTGTTATTTTAGCAAACACCGCTATTTTTTAGCTGAACCCGATAAAAACTGCCAATAATACAGTTTTTAAAATTAAATATTATTTTTCAAAAATGTGATGTTAGTAAATCTGCAAATATTGCAATAATATGTTACTTTATCAAGAAAAAATGCAATTATTTTTCAGATAGTTTACAACAAAATGTTTGTTATAAGAGCAATTTACCATTATAAGATAAACAAAATTCAAATGTTAAACATAATTATACAAAACCACAAATAACAGCACTTATATACAATTCCATTCCCTAATCGGGCACTGAAATTATAGAGGGCAGCAGATGATACATGACAACAAAATGTTCTGAAATGGAGATGATCATGTTTGCAAGACAGATATAGTAAGGGTCAATGTCTATAAGGGTCAATGTGTATAAAAGCAAAACGTCAGACTGGTAAAACAGCTCACATATTTAATGGTACAGAAAACAAATGATATTTAAACAATGGCAAATGATCTTATGACTATGAATTTACTGTTGCAAGGGAAAAAAAGGAATGAATAAAAATGATCAATGGATACAAAAACTTCAAATAGTGTTACTACCGTAGTAGTACCATCTCGGGTATAAGATAACCCCCTACTTTACGCCCAATTTTACGCACCAACCTTTTCTTGGGAAAAAGCCCAGGGTATGGTTTTAATGAGTAGCTTAGCTGACTTTATAAAATACTCTAAAAAATATTCAACTTTGACTTAGGCATACAGTGATGAAAAAATTGCCTTTTGATTGTAATGGGGAATTCCTAGGTATAAGCCACCCCTTCCCCCCCACCCTCACAAACTTTTTGTGTTTATGAGGATGGGTTTATACTGGAGGAACTATGGTACTAATCTTATCTGTAATATTTTTTCACAAACGCAAAATCAGCTTTCGTTTTTGTTGCTCTCAATCCTTCATTCATTCATTTAAACATTAGTTTATATCTTAAAAATTATATTTATATTTTGCCTCAATTTCTATCAAATATCTACAGCTTGTACATATAGCATAATCATTTTATATATACCTTTTATTTCTCTTTTTATGTTTGTTTTGCAGATGTCGTTAAATAATTTTGGATGTACAAAACATATCAAAAAATATCAATGCTAAAAAAAAAACCAGTAAAAAAATTATATATTTCTTTTTTAACAATCCGATTTAAATCCCTCAATCAGATTGTGGTTTAAGAAAGTGGCAACCCCAAAGGTAAGTGCAAACTTAAGAAATAAACAAAACATAAAAATAAAGATATCTGTGAATGAAATTATATGAAGACATGCAAGGTAGAAACAGATGAGTTAATGGATAAAAACAAATGAAATGAATGAATGATATAAAGGAAGAAAAAAATTAAACCAGTAGTGAAAGAGACGTAGAAAGTACGTATGAACGGATGAAAAGGTAGAAAACAGCTATCAGAGAGCTTAAGGGTAAAATTATACATACTTTAAAATAGTAAAAACAGAACAGAACAGAACCAATAGAATGGAGAAATTATAACAAAATCACATGCACAATTAGTAAACAAATGGTGATTGAGTGCTTTGGTAATGGGGTGCTCTGGGGGTGTGGTACATTTAGGGAGGGGGACAGGTGACAGTTCTCCTGCTATACTAAAATGCACAACCATACTTGAACACCCACTGTTTCTCTTACCCATGTTAATCGATTCTTTTCTCTGCGTTCTCGTATCACATCCTGAAAACAGGTGGGGTGTGTATTAAGAAGTTTAGAAAATAAAAACGAAAAAAAATAGGGGAAAATTATTGGGTTGAAAAAGATCACAATCAAATGGAGGAAAAAAAAACCCCCAAAAAACAGGAAGATTACCAGTAACATCAGAATAGTCATAAAATAATATGAAGAAGTCGTCTCCAAAATAGATTTCTGACAATGGGGTGCTATAAGTCTGATTATTCCAGATTTTCAGTATTGTATTAATAAGTCAAATTGATTTAAAAATACAAAACTCAACATTGGAACATCAAGACTTTAATTAATGAAAGAATATATATAACATTACTTTGACATACAAGAAAGGTATGCTAGTCTGCTAGCATTGAAATCCTAAAAAATAAAACCTTACCAAAACTGAATCAGTTTTTGATAAACTATAGAAAGGATTAAGGGAAAATCCACAAACAAATTTGAACTTAAAATATATAACATAGATTATCAAAAAGATGCTTATTTAAAATTCTACTCTATTTTTTTTTAAAAATCAGTTTACAGTACAGTTTCATATTTGAGATTAAATGTATCTTTTATGAAAGCGATAATGATGACCTCAAAATGACAAAATCATTTTACTATGCAATATTTAAGAACAAGGAAGGTTACAGGTCACATGAAAGAATATTTTTTATTCTCTTATTAATTACAAAATGAAGTTTGATCTCAGGTGTTAATCTTGGGGAATAGTATGATATATTTTAAAAATTTATAATATTGATTGTAGCTCCTTGCAGACTGATGAAGCTGATGTAAGTTGATTGTGGCTGTTGATGTGAGAGGAAATAGGTCATGTGATAGCCATGGTGGCATTTTGCTCGAGTGATCACTTCCCCGGCTTATTAAGTCTTTTGACAAGCCCTTACCTCTGGGGAACGCTGGGTATCTGTATCGCTGGCTGGGCTGTCTGGGTTACTGAAACTCGGGCAATTCTATGAAAAACAAAATAATATTATTAATGTATAAGTACACTATTAAAAATAATAATAATTGATAAAGTATCGGTGTCAACTAAAAATGACCCTTGCGGTGCTTGTGCGTTGAGCATTCACTTAATAAGTTAATTTAAGTATGGATAATTATTCCTTTTCCACCTATTTTGCAATGTCATTTTGTCATAACATGACAAAAAAACCCCAAAAAAACAAGACTAAGCTAGAAATATAAACACATTATTCCCACATTAAAATTAATTAGAATATGACTTTAGCATTGTATTAACCATGTTATATCATGCAATAAAAAGGTGCTGTATGTGTTGATTGTAACAATATATATTCAACAGGCTCATACCTTAAATTCTAATTATTTCTTGTATAATATTCTATTCAAATATTTCCATTTTACAGTTTGAAAAAAAAACAAAAAAAACCAAAACCTCCCCCTTCCCACCCACAAAAAACACACAAAAGAAGTGACTGAAATACAAATATATGCTGTGTTGTTTAAAAATGAAGTATCTTGACAAATAAATAGTATGTAATTAATTAAGCACAGAGGGTTTAGTTGACAGCTTATAACTTACTTAGATGTAAGTGAAGAATACAATATTAGATTTATTTTTCAAGATTTTACCTAAAAAAATACGCTAATTTTTTTTACATGGCTTATGTTGTATGATTGATTATTCATTTAACCTTCCTTTGGCTAATACCATAGTTAGATGTGATAACACTAAGACTTTTATCCTGCAGAAAGCCATAATAAAAATTTTAGAATATATAAATATCTATTTCTTTTTTTTAATACATCAGCTAACTACAGCTGCTAAGCCCGAGGAAGATGAGTGTATGTTGTCAATGTCCCTAGGGACATATGACTACTACTGAAATTCACAGTCAGCAGATTATAACCATAGAAATAAGTAGTGTGGATAAGCTGTTAAAACACCATTTAACAATCTCCAAGGAACATTTGTCCCATGACCTGTATTTACATGGATCATAAAACAAATTAAATTGATATTTAGCTGGCTCAAACATTTCTGAAGTGATAATTTGTGAAGAATTTTTTCTCTTCCTTCAATAAGCATGCAATAAAAATATAAAACAAATAATTAGAACAAAACATGCCCTATTTCGGATTATATTAGTATATATATTGATTTCACATGCAAATTTATATGTAAATTTATATGCAAATTAATATGCAAATGTAATATGCAAATTGCTAGTCATAACTTAGTAAATAACATAATACTTATAATGGGTGACTATGAAGAGCGAACTAAAAATAAGATAATTGTCCAAATTGATCCAAATTGTCAACAATAAAGTCGTGGCGCATTTCATCTCAAATAGTTTAATTTGACTTTAAAATGAGCCGCCATCGAGCAATCATTTTATAATACAATCATCAAATTTGACACCGTCTTTTATCAGTCATTGTCATCATCACTTTCTTTTTTGAAAAATACTGTGGTTCTCTATATCATTATTGCTATCATGATCAATGTCAAAGCATAAAGATGCAACAAAAAAAGAACTTAAATAGTGTTTCAACTGAAATCAAAGAACTAAAAAGTTGATCAAACTGAAAAGAAGAATCTGTAATTAACTAAATGAAAATAATATGCAATTAATATGCAAATTAGTATTGAAGTAGACCAGCATAGCAACACTGTGCATCTTGTATGTTACCTCTCGAAATACCGGCGAGGAGGGGGGAGTTACGTAGAACATGAAGCCTGGGAACTGCAGGTCCTGGGTTGGTAAAAAAATTCATTATCTTGAAAATCATCTTACTAAATTTCATGCACTTTAATGAATACTGACTATATAATCACTTTCTAAAAAGAGATTGTTACTGAGATAATAAAAGACCACAAACAGGTTACAAAAATAATTTGTACAACCAAATAAATTAATACTAAAGCGAAATTATCATGAATTAGGTATAAAAACCTGGTTATCACCAATATGGTATGAAAAGTAAATTGTCACCAATATGGTATGAAATCTAAATTACTATCAATATGGCCAAGACCTAGATTTTCACTAATATGGCATGAAAGCAGCAATATAGCCATAATGGTATGAGCTAAATTGTCACCAATATGGTTATAAAAAGATACTAAGAAAATTAGATTGTCACCAATATGGTTATAAAAAGATACTAAGAAAATTAGATTGTCACCAATATGGAATGAAAGCTAAAATTTCACCGGTATGGTTAAGAGACAAGTTGTCACTAGTATGGTGATAACCAGATTTTTATCAATTTGGTATAAAAGCTAAATTGGCTCAATATGACATGAATGGTATGAATACTGTAAGGCTAAATTGTTACAAATAATATGAAAGCTAGATTGTCACATGTATTGTTAAAGAGCTAGTATGTCACCAATATAATATTAATGATATGAAATTTATAATGTTGCCAATATGGCACAGTATGAAACGAAATCTAAATTGTCACCAATGTGGTATGAAATGTAGATTGTCACCAATCCATTAGTATGAATGCTAAATTGTCACCCTATCAATTATTAGTGGGTTTAATGTCTGAACTTACATACAAAGATGAATAAACACAAATATAAAGCCAAAAAATATAATTAAAAATGTTTCAATTGCAAACATATCTAACATTATTAACTATTACTGTAAATTACAGAACGACTGAAATGGATAAATTATTATGACGGGAACAAATGTCATTCTCACCTTTGATCCAAGTGTTTGGACAGAGGAAATCCCTGCTAATTTAGCGAGCTGATGCTCAAGTACTTTGACACGGGTTGTCGCACCTGATAAATCTTTCTGCAACTTCTCTGTCGGACTGCGAAAGTATTCCGCTTTAGTTTTCTTCAAGAGAATAATAATTTCCAGGTTTATTAATTTCTTCTCAAACATAATGAAATAGATTGGATAGCTATGTTAGTTTAAAAACACAGAAATAAATAATTTGAGGTAGACAGTACAACAAACTTAAATAAAAAAAAAACCCAGAAAACCACAAGGTTTCGTGTTTACGCAATAAAGTTCTTTTTCCAGAAGCAGTTTACTGTCAAAATGAAGTCTAAATCTAAATTAAATTTCTTAGCCTGCAAAGTATACCTCATACTTACTCTCATTCTAAACACAAAGTAAAACAGCAACTTGAAAATAATAAATTTAATTAATATATAGTTTGAGAAAACAGTGTGAAGACAATATTACTAAAATCAGAAACCGAATCACAATCAATATGGGTTTCTTTATCACACGAATCACGTTTTTAAATGGATTTATTTGGAAAATTATGCAAATTGTTCAAGTTCAACATAAAGAAGTGGAAAAAATGATACAATAAAAAATTATTCATTTTCAGTCATATTGTGTACATGATAGGTATTTACAGAAGTTACACTGTCTACTGTATATCGTAAAAGGTGAAACCAATCATAAGTAAACCAGTTTTAAATGCTTGAGTGTGGTTTGTATGGTTTTCCTTAGCTGGCAGAAATGAAACCTTATCATAGGCATGATTCATAGATGGCCATTAAAATTATTGAATTACCAGGCACAGGTTTAAAGCGGCAGTTTTCCACAACAATAGTAACAATCATTGCCACAAAGACCGGCATTTTGAGGGCTAGACGCAGCATCAATGAGGTTATGCACTGCTACACATCCAAGTACAGATTAGGAAAGTCAGGATGATTATATTTTAAAGGTACAGATGGATGAATAATGGTTAATTATTACATTACAACTGTGAAAAGGCTATCTAAATTAGGAAATATAGCATACTAAACAATATATGACAAAAATATATAATATTTATACATAATATGGAATGTTATTGGAAATCGCTTTTCATGTTTTAGTGATATGGATATCTGAAAAACTAAAATCAATTAATTATTATTGATATTTTGGTGATCTGTTTGCACTTAGATGCTGGTGGGTTGGTTAATACCAGATACTAATCTATAGCTATTCCATACATTATACCAGCCTTATGATTATAGACTTTAATTAAGACGGGTTGGGATACAACATTAACGTTTTGCTAATCAAATCCCCAACAGCCTTATATTACATTCTTTACATTATTACACACATTTAATTCATTTTGTTATATCATCAAGAAGTTACTAACTGTTCGATATGTTAAAATACAATCAAAACTCTAAAAACATATAACAATTTCTATTGCCAGTAAAATAATTGTATATATTTGACTATCTAAAAAGCTATATTATTTAAACCTTTGTTTGATGATACTCTAACACAGAAAATAGACAATTTTTAAGAATTACCTTCAGTGAATGTCTCCAAGTAAAGCCTTTATAACTCCATTGAATATACAATACTTCCCTTCAATACAATTTAAAATGAAAGTAGAAACTACCCTCAACTTGAACAAATCCCCCTAAGGACTGGAAGAGTAAATAGAGGGCAGCAGACAGATTTTTAAAGAGTACTCTAAAGCCAAACAACCAACACTGTAATATGCATTATCACAAACTCTCTACTCTGGAGTTATGAGGAAGTCAAAAAGGTAAATATTCATGATACTCAGACAAACATGAAAGGAACTGAAACACAATGAAAAGCCCTTTCAGATGAATTGGTAATCTCTGTACGCAAGCAGAATTTAAATGTTTATCTTTTTATAGAAGATGTAAATCTATATTTGATGTTAATTTTAGATTATGAATCATGAAGTATAGTAGGTGATTATGCCACCCAAAAAAAAATTATTATACAAAGTTACAATAAAATACAATGGAGATTTCAAAGAATATGACCAAGCATTTGAATAACAGGGGTTTCTTTTTGCATTTGTGGTGAATTATTATTTTGTATGTTTTAATAGCTGCAGTATATTAAAAAAATTTCAGTCAAAGAGGTAAAACTGTAACCCAAGATTCCATAAAGGGGAATTTTCTACTAGAGTCCAGGTGGTGCCTAGTTGTACTAGTGCGGACCATAAGAAGAGCTCTGGGGCCAGGTGCAAACACCTTAAGTAGAAGTGCCCTAGCACTGAAAATGTTAATTTCACTGTAATTATAAAGGTTTTTTAACATGAGAGGGGTGGTTTGGTTTGGTTTATTTGAGAGGGGTTTACTTAAAACTGGTGGTTTAGCCAAACCACAAAAACCCTCCTGTTGACTGACCTGAGATGTACTCTTACCTAATTTGCTATTAATAGTATCACCTGTTACCAGATCTCAATTAGCTAGCGTCAGTATGTTTGCATTTCTTAGTTTTTATTTTTGTAATTCATTCAACAGCTAATAACAATAAACAGCAAGAAACCACAAATATGCCATTTAAATAACAATGTGATGTGATTTCCAAAGGCAGGAACCTGAGGGGGTGTGTTCAGGAGCAAACAACAACAAAACAGTATCATTGACCACATACCAAATGGTTGTACAAATTCTTTCATTGTGTGTTTAATAGTGCAGAAGAAAAAATGTAAAATTGTTTATCAATTTATTCATTTATCTAGATCCATTTGCCGCGAGCAGCTCTCTGAGATGGATATGTGCGCCTTACAAGATGCCATTATTATTATTATTATTATTATCCATCCTTTCCTTTACCCATCCAATCAATGCATTCATTCCCTAAAACTAGAATTTGTTAAGACACCACTCACATATTGGTACAACTAGAAAACATCTACAAACAATTTAACAACACAGACCATAATCACATACAGAACTAGTAAAAATCATCAAAATCTAATTTTGGGAAGCTTTGTGGATAGTCATTTTTTTCATAGTGGTTCACAGGATTTGAACCCAGATTTCTCGGACCGGAAAGAAGCATACCCACTAAGCAACAATCCACTTCAAAAATTCAAAACAAATAATTAAAAAAAAAGGAATATCTAATTAGTTTAACAAGCAAAAGTAAATAAGTACCAGATCAAAATGCAAGTAAATGAAAAAATATATTAAAAATAAGTACAGAACAAATAAAAAGTGTAGAAATGCACAATGAATGAAAATATCAACTTTTATAAAGCAAGCATATAAAAACTAAACTGATTGTAAAAAGCAGTACAGCACTGAACTGACATGACTTGGCCATGGGGCTGGTAGAGCACTGTACCATTCTTTACAATCAGTCATGTTGTTATCGTGAGTATACTACAACACAGCATACCACTCTAAAGTATGAATGACATTGTTGATGAACATAGCAAACAACATGACTATATAAGTTCCGTCCACACTGTCTTATCATCCTGTCCATATATGGGCAGACCACACACATCTGTCCCATAAAATCTGACAAAGTTTAGGATGTATGAAATCATATACAGTAGAATCCTTATTAAGGGGACACCTTTAGAATGAACAAAATGTGTCCCCTGTGTAGTGGTTGGCCATAGTGTTAAGATATACTTTCCCTAGCGCCCCCAAAAATGTCCCCTTAATAGAGATGTCTACTTAATAGCTGGGTTTTCTACTGTATTATATTTCAAGTTGTTCAAAACATAATTCCCACGTTCCCTCACAATATTTCATTTCTAAATTTGAGTATTTTTTGAATAACACATCTTTATTCAAAATTTTACTTAGATTTAAACAAAAAAACCAATTTAAAATACAGTAACATCTTGATTATGAACTCTCGATTTTACTAACCAAATTTGCGAGGATGACTACATTACTAACGATTGTTTTTAACTACAAAATCTTGTATTTAAAAGTCTTCAAAGATGTTATATAAGCTAAGAAAGAAAATACTTAAACCAATAAAGTAACATAAAACTAAGTTTAAAGCAAGAAATATCGATCAATTTCAGCTGAGATATATTACATTTGAGCTGTGCATGCTTGTTCAAACATACTGTACAGTAAATCTCACTTTTTGTTCATTGGGGGCACTATTCGCATAGATTCGCGACTTTTATGAAGAGAATAACAATTTTTTTGGCAACAATAAAATCCAAGTCATACTACGTGCCAAAATTTTCCTCATATTGCAAGGCTTAGACCTACCTATCCCTGTACTTTGTAGCATAGGCTTAGGCCTACCCTCACCACACTGAGATGCTATGAAAATTGAAACTCTCTGAATTACAAATTTTCTCAATTATGAACTCTGTTCGGATGGAGGGGTGTGTAATTGGGAGATATTACTGTTATGCTTTGTTAAACTATTTTACAAATTTCTATCAAGATTTGATGAAAACTTGTGAAAAATAATCTTAAAATGTAGCAAAAACATATTTTTTTAAGCATGATATTACTCACCTCGTAGAGGTCCTTTTCCTGGTCCAGCATCTTGCGCATCGTGGTGACCCGCTCGTTGCGCATCTCTGCATCCTTTTCAGGCTTTGTTCAAAAAAGAGGGCAGATAAAAATGATGGAAATGATAGAAAAATGATGAGAAAGCTATCACCATCTAAGTGCAAAAAGCAAAAAATAACTACTACCTCCACAAGCAGTGAAAATAGTTAAAATAATAAGGAAATATTTTTAAAATGAATGTAAACGTACTTCAGAATGTTATTCTATTCTGAATCTCAATAAATCTTGTGAGTTTATAAGCTTTTTTATACAGTAAATGTTATGAATCTATATGAAGGCTTGATGCAAAATATTATATGAAATTCAAAGTAATGAAAACTATATGAAGACATAATTCAAAATCATTCCATGCATAAAACACATTACCAAATGCAAATAATCCATAAACAAAAAATCAATTTAAAACAAATTATTTGAACACTGAGGCCACCATTTTTACATTACTGTACATCTAACATTGTTGAAAACATATAAATTAAACATACAGTAATCAACACTGAGTGGTGATATTAAACAAATGTACTCCCAATATTTCAAAACACAAACTACTTAAAACAAGTACATTTTAATGTTTAATAAAGAAAGGTGCTACTGAAAACAATTACAATACATCCAATTTTAACATTGCGGGTGCTTTTGAGAACAAGTATCTATCATCTTTCGACTGTTGTACATTAGTTTGATTTTCATATTTTAGTGTTAACCGGGATAAATCCATTTTTAAGTAATGAACATTATTTTTGAGGTGGAATGAATACAATTAATAACTAATGACAATAAAAAATAACAATGTGTTTGGATTAAATATTGGTCTCCCTCCAATTATAGATCGCTTTTAAGACAGGGTTTCTATGGAAGGGAAAAAATAATTCCTATAAAGATAGAATGCAGTTATTCATGACCACTTGAAAGTTGACTTTTAATCAGAGTATCTTTAATCAGAAGAAAACGTGTGCTAGTTTTTATGAAATAATGAAGAAACATCTTAAAACCTTTTCATAACACTTTAAAGTAAGTGTTGAGGTTTTAAGTAAGATATTAATTATTATAAATAAAAAGGGCAGATTGTTGCTACTGAGGATGGACTTAGGAATAAAAGAACTGATTTATCACTCCACATTTATAAGAACTACAACTCAAAAGTATACGTGACATTTTTATTGAGAGCTGTCCAAGAATCACCACGTGCAAAAACCACTTAATTGAGCAAGTGATATCACTAACACGTCTTGCAGCTAAAACTCATAAGTTATCATTCATAAAAATAATCACACGCGTGGAAGTGACTTTCACGAGGTGAATAAGACTTCTGATGAATTTTTATGCAAAGGTCGTGCCAAGTTAGACGACAGTGCACATCAAAGAATCACTGCCTCGTTGAATAACGCGATGAGAGACACGTGTAGTAAAGAATTGCAGATTTAGCTAAATAACTAATAGTAGGTTTATCTCACGTAGTGTCCAGCTGTATGGTTCATTAGTAAAATAGGCCATCGTTTCAATGGGAATTAAGCAACTACAAACCCAGCAAACATGCACAAAATCTGCAAAAATACCTCACTAATGCCCATCTCAAAAAATGTCAATAAAAGGTTAAACATTTTAAATTTAAAGTTCACTATAAATTTACTGAGTTCAACTCATTACACTTTATGAACTAGGAATTTTAATATCTATCATTTTTTACTCCATTCAATTTAAATACCATAAAGGACTACTGATTAGGAAACCATGGAAACATAATTTAAAATATTGTTGGTCCTCATATGATTCTATCACTGTTTAGTAACATTTTTAGAGAAGCATTATTAAACCCAGTATTTTAATTTTTATTATTGAAATCACCTCAAACAAGGCCTGAAAGCCATTTCTAGGTTAGGGGTTACATAAATAGGCGCGATCTCCAATTAATCCCAGACGCCAAAAAAACGTGTCTAGGTCAACACCCTATCACGAATCAACCATTCTAATTACCACGCTATATGAATATTCATTTGCTACACGCTTGAATTACAGCTCGAGTCTGGACGACGGTGATTTGTTTGGACGCTTGTTGATCGTTTGAACGATTTTCTATTGTCTTCTTATACGTACATGTGGCTATACTTTCTCTATGCTTATATGAAGATTTGTAAAATTACATGATGACAACGTGCCTGGAGGTTCTGGCGCGCTATGTGCTAAGCAAGTTCCATTAGAATTCGCTTTGTACACCGCTCTGTAGATACAAAATAAAAAAATATAAATATAAAATAAAATCTAGACCTAGGTAGGTAGACTGCCTATCTTTTTTTATCCTCACGCACGGTTGGTTACTCACAATTTTCTGAGGCTACTCTCTACTGTGTCCCATACTATGCAGCAGTGCATTTTCTTTACTGTAAGTTCTACTGTAGGTCCTCGGAATCAAGAGATGTATATTTGGTTGACTAGTAAAAGTTAAATAAAGACAATAAGTTGTCATATTAACAACAAATCATGAGCTTTAGTTTTGATTTATTATTTAAATGATTGAACTACAGAGTACTCTTTCAAATAAAACTGCAACGATCTCGAGGTCGAGCCTTGGGTGCAGAGAGCAGGGCCCAGAACCACGTGTGTAAACAACAAGTAGAATACTGGGCAATTTAGAACGGTCCAATTTCAAACGGTGTATAACATTTTTTTTTTACAATAATACTTATTTTTAGTTGTTTTTATTTCTCGCTTTTATACATTGAACGCACCAAATTTATATGTGCCGCTGAAACAGAAGTGTATGTTCAGTTGAATAAATAAATAAATTACAGTAATATATCGAGTTGTCAGTAAAACCTGGGTAGGCAATGGTTTAGCCTTACATGTTTGTATGTCAAAATTTGTGGTGAAATTCGGCATAAAAAAATGTGCTTCGCATGAAATTCACGAAAATTCAATTAATAAAACTTGTTTTATAAAATGTAAATATAATTTAGCTTAGTATAATGCAAAATTTCATCTACTTTGATCATGGACAACGTTTTCGGAGCATGGGTCTTCTCTTAGCACGTGATCCCTTTCAACGACAAAGATAGCAATTAATTGCTGTGCTGGATGTTACCACAGCTGCACAGGATGGTGATCGTGCTTCTTAAAACTGATCGTGGCCAGCGACTCCAGCTGCGACTACATCGGAAATAACTAAAAAAATATCAAATTTTTTAACGTTATATTTGTTCATCGATTCATAAAATCACTGAATACTGCGATAGTCTCACCTATGCACGGTACCAGGCCTATTGAATGTCGCGTCCCAGTACCCAACCGACTATTTTTTTTTAGCATCGACCAGGGACTTCCCCTAGTTTACATACTTCTGTCAGTTCTTGCACACACAGGCGGCGTACAAGGAGACGTTCACTAGCAGGTAAACAAGTCCATACTTGGGTATAGGTCCGCACAGTCAGTCATATTATGATTCATTTTAAGTTGGTTTTCCACTAGGCGAATTCATTCGCGTGAATCAAAGCATCGGTTCGCTTCCTGAGTTCTGATTGGTTGTCCTTTTTTTCGCTAGCAAAAACTCAGATAAAATTGTGAATGCGCATGTGAATGAGCTGCCGCTTTCCATTTGCGAGAATAAATTCGCCAAGTGGAAAACAGGCTAGAGAGAGTCGTCTAGACGCGTTTTACGGTGCATCCAATCGGCCATAGTTAAAGGGAAGGAGCAAAGGCCAAAACGGAATATCAGCGTCCTAATGATGTGCTATTCAAATGGTGTTTTCAGGCGTGTTTTGGTAGAACAATAGAAAAAGTGTCTGAACGCTGATTTGTTGTCTGGGATAAGTTGGAGATTGCGCCTTACTAAATTTATATGCAATGAAATACTTGCATCTAGGACTGGAACATCCCATTAGTGATAATTATATGATTATTACATAAATTATTAAATCAAATCTAAAATATATTACAGTAAACTAATGGCTATGGAACCATATCTAAAATATTGCTTGTCCCAATGATTCTATTACTGTTTAATTAATAGCATTAAAAAAAAAAAAAATCGCATAATATTAATATAGTACAGAACAGTTCCAGTAGTGATAATTTATTATTTACATATTGAATTAATATGTCAAATATCAATTTCAGAGGGCGAGATGAGATGTAAAAAAATCTTCATCAAATAAACATGTAACAGATGTTTTTAAATTATTAATCAAATCAGCCTTTCAGGAATTCCCAGAATTGATGAATCTCTGTTGCTCTCAGCTACGAAACAATCAAATACTGTTTAAGGATGACACTTTATCATAAATCTTATATTTAATAGTCTAAACAATCTTAATTACAATCTCAAACTTGTTTCAGCAATTCAATAACTGATGTCACATAGCCAACAGCTTCTCTGAATACATGGTAATTGCAATTCCTCTCCCACATTCAGTTGTCTTTTTTTTCCCTTTCATCATAAGCAGAATAAATCTGATTTAAAGTTTAACCTTTTTAAAAATACAATGTATCATATTAACTGGCTGCATGTTTGCGATAACCATTTATTAATATTAATAGGTAGTGTGTTACTTTAATTAGTTTAGTTTTAATGGTAGGCATGAATGATCAGATTAAATACCATTATTGAGAATGATATATTAAGAAGCACTTTTATTGCAGGTTGCTGAACAACTTAAGTCTCTTTATGAAGCTTTGGGAAATGGAGAGATGATCATTTTGTGAACGTCAGTGCTGTAGTTACTAATTCTTTTTATGGGCTTGAAGGAAACCCAGGAATAAATCAAATCAAATTACTGCTTAACACACCATATTCATTGGCAGTGATATATTCCAAAGCTCATAATTTAAGTTTCTGTATGCTCTACAACTTTATTCTCTTAAATTTATGATGCTTTGAGAAATACTAGACTTGATCATTTGGGAACTTTGTTGCTATAGGGACCAATTCTTTCTGAGACCAGGCTATCATATTGCATTTGACAAAAACATGAGACATGCTTAAATTTGGTCATGATAAAATCACATTATGACCATATATAGGCACATCATAACTATATATGGGCATACAATAGTTTTTTTGTCAAAGACCTATCTTTCAGGATTGGAAAACAAGTATCTTTACCTAGGCCTCAAAACTAACGCCGACATCCTGCAATGCCGACGTAAATGGCGGTGTCTAGCTTCCCAACGCCAACGAAAAAATCGCCGACGTGAAGATTTTAGGCCTAGCCCAAGCTAACCCAGGCCTACGCTGGTACTAGTAGTAGTAGTAGTACCAGTGATGGTAGACTCGGCAGGATCGCCGTGACACAATATTAAACTTTATTCTTAATGAAAACAAGTTATTTAATGTCTTTTATGTTGTATTATGAGTAAAATGTGAATAAAATCAAACTGGATTTTGTGTTTCATGCTTTTATGTTGTTTTTACATTCATTTTTGTTGTAACATTTTTTTTTCTAAACAACCCACTCTTCGTGTAAACATTAGGCCATGCCTCCTAAACTCCGCCCGGTAATTGGTTAATTTTTTTGTGGGGTCATGGATGGGCAAACATGTGCTTGGCTGTAATGACGTCAGATCGCCCAAAGTTTCATAGTGCGCGATAGCTTGCAGACAGGAACAAGCTTAGTGTAAATCGATTAATTTTCAATTAAACAGATTTATTACAACAAATAAGAAAATTCTTAAAAATGAAAAATTTCATTCTCTACAAATTCCTCCGTAATTAGATGTTGTTGAGGAATGAGTGAAGCTATGCATTTGTAATTTACACTGATGAATCTACGACATCCAAATCCAAATTAAATGTCTACTGAAAAAGAGCCAGCCATCGTAGAAACTTACTTTGAGTTCCGTCTTCATTTCAGGTTTATTGCAATGCACTTTATAAACAATGAAAGGCGTAACTTTCAATTTATATAACATTAACGTTTAGGTCTACTGGTGTATCGTTTTAATCAAATCTCTATGGCAACAATATTGGGACTGAGCTAGCTGTACGGCAGTTCATTCACAGGGTTGTTTGTGCTAGGCCTAGCTGTTGATTAACAGACAGATATTATTGCGTTATATCGTCTGGAAATAGTTGTTTATTAACTGTTTGTTGGGATAGGAATGGTTATGGGACTTGAAAAAACTTTGGTTTAGCGTGAAATTAGGTATTCTGGTCATTCGGAATTCGGAGATTCCACTGTAATTTTTTTGTAGTTAGTCATCATAACAAAAACATTGTTCAACATTTTATCAATAATAGTGTGAATTTGAATATTAATACGTAGGCTGGGCTTTCCAGCTTGATTGGGTGACTTCAAAAGACATCCATCACTGCTATAACAGGTCAGCATGGGTTGATTTCAGGGCTGTAGCTGAAACTAAAAACTGCCGACGTTATAACCGGCGCCAATCTTATAGCGCCGGTGATTTTCAATTTTTTTTTTGCCCACATTCTTTTTCCCTAATTTTGAGGGCTGTTTACCTTCAAGGTATAATAATTATTACAATACAAGGTATGGAATAGTTATTTTCTTAGCTAATTAAGAAAAAATAAAAGAATCCTAGTGCAAACCCATGCTCTTGAAATTAGAAGGCAGGCAATACAACTATTAAACCATTATATTTTTTTTTTTCAAAAGAAGACTGACTATGAATGTTGGTGCACATAATTATAAACTGATTGTATGGTTTGTCTTTTTATCACCTGTGCAATTACAATGTAATGACTAATGTCTGTCTGGCAATTGTAGAATCCAATAAAATTCCGATTAAAATCTAATTTCCAACACTATAAAGTGCACAAAATTTAAATGCATGATGAAACTGTATAGCTATAGCACATTACACTATTTCACATAAAGGAAGACATTACTCTTTTTCTTGGTTCATTACACTATAAAAATCACATATAATGTGTTAAATTACTCTGAAGTTTGATCATTATTATCAGCTGAATAATAGTTCAACCCCCAATAAATAACACTATGAGATAAATCAATATGAATGAACATGAGAAAATACAGGAGTTAAACAATTTCTCCGGTTAGCACATTAGTTAAAAGCATTGACTAACATTTAAAGGGGTTGTGATATTAATTACCTACCACACAGTAACAAAAATATCCACAATGCAATTCCATTATCCCTACAATGCAATGTTACAAATAATGTAAATTGATTCACCCTAACTTTGCAGAGAATGACTTTCCAGCCCTTTGCAAGATGAACAGGCTTTTAAGTAAACAATGAGTCAAATTATATTTTTAGAAGATAGAATTTAAAGGATCGTTTGTGTATGGTGGTTCCAGAAACAACATGAGCACACTCCAAATTAATTAGCAGCCTATCAGTGTGTTCATCTTAATAACCGAACCAGACTCAGACCAGTGAACCAAGAATAGTGTCTAGACTCAAAACTGGCTCAATAGGTGCTCAGAAAAAAAAATATACACCAAGCAGGTTTGGGATCAGTTTGCATATTGAGTTGGTTAATTTTAAGCTTTCGTAATGTAGATTTCAGAAGCAAAAAATGCTACCCAGTGCCTGATAATAAAAGCTTGAAATTTCAAAAATCTGTGACCTTAAAATGATTTCTGTTAATATGACCAACCTTTAGATTCTTTGGCAAAGCAAAGACACACTACAAAAAAAAAAATAAATAAAAAGCAATGAACTGTAAAAATTTGTGCATTAAAATGTTATGTATCAATATACACTACATTACTGTATTGTGATCTAGGTGGTTACCCACATTGTTAGCTCTATAGCTACAGTTGATTACTTACTGCGGCTGGTCTGGGGCCCGATACAGTAGTACGATTAGAAGAATTCTGATTCGGTTGATGTGGTGGAGGTAACGGTTGAGTTGAACCAGGTGGACGTCCAAGGAGGGTTAATGCCACATAAGAACCAGCTATTGAGCATAAAAAAAATAATCTTGATTTCCTTGCAAAAATTACAAAATCACACAAGTCTCAATAATTTTTAAATATTTAACATAAACAAACAAAAGGCTGAGAAAATATTTTACTGTAATAATTATTTTACTGGGTACATAAAATTATCATGTTTTTAAAGTCAAATCAAACAAAGACCCCAATAATTGAATTACAATTATAAATTATATTTATTTTGGTAGATCTTACATTATATATACAGGCCTTACCTTTAATCATATTAACTACCTCCATATGGTTACTTTGAGTGACTAAAGTTCCATTAACCTGCGGAGAAAAGATAACAAAATGAAAACATTAACCTATATCACCTGGGAAGAGGTTACCCGAGGTGAATTCATAAGAGGGGGAAAGATAACAATGTTAAAACATCATTTAATATATGAAACAAGGGACCAAGGGGTTAGGCAGGTTTGATGATATTCAATAATGGGTGGGGTCAAAGTCAAACTTGTTAACATATATTTGATGAGGGAGGCTGTAGATTTTATTCACAAATTAAACAGAACAGGCCATGCCACCTTGTTACATCATAGCATGGCCTTGCCAAGGTGATATCCTAGGTAGTACCAAGCATTTATCGTTCTCTGTGCCGCAAGGGTGACACATCATAATGTGAAAAATACACATGGCCTAGCCAAGATCTAGATAGCCAAGATCTAGATACCCTAGCTAAGACCACGCATTCATTGCCCTCTGCGCCTCATATAAGTGACACATCGTAGCATGAGAGACACAATGGCCTAGCCGACAGCTAGATATCCAGGTATCCCTTGCCCTCTATATTTCATCAATGATTAACTGATTAATTTACTTAGAAGAGAGACAGCGTTTGTGAATTACTGTAGGTGCTCAGGCTGTAAACTTTTTTAATCGTTTGCACATTCAAATCTAATACAGATTAATTACATTTACAGATATTATACCAGTATAAAATGAAGCTTTCTAATTGCATTTAAAGCAAATAATGGTATGTACAAGTTGATCAATAATTACAAATTTCAAATTCCTAGAGCATATTTTTTCATGTACATATACGCATGAATCTGTATGTAGCATGGCTTATGTCACTTACAATTGCAGTTGTCTTGCTTAACCCATAAAACCCTGTTTGAACAAGCAAGAAAATCTTGTCGGAAAATGATATACAGTAGTATATCTGGTTAGTAGAAATTGAGGTTTTCAAATTGTTTTAAAGTGTTTTGTTTTGCCTGAAAATAATTACTTAAAAGTTCAAAAATTTGTCAAAAACAAATAATTTTACTCTGATTGCAAGCCTCTACTCTTTGTTTGGTTTCTTACTACACACATATTATTATTAGAATGTAAAGTACCACAATGAATGTTATTTACATCACGCTTTGACAAAACTGACTACTTGAAATTGATGAAAATAAATGACATCTTCTGCCACTAATTTATAGGAAACTGAAACGATACACATATTAAAAAAAAGTTAATAGAATTAAGTGGTTGTCATAATCACACAATTTCTAACACTGTATGGGTGACCTGCATTGCGCGTTGTATCCCCAGGTGAGAAGCGACCTCATACACCAGGGAATTGAACAATAAACATGCATCTTAATTCAGGAAGGTAGTAATATGAGGTATATAGAGTCATGTGTATTGTGAACGTACAACTTGTGACTTGTAGTATTATATGAGATCCTATCATTGATGAGTATAAGCTGTAGATCTGCACCTAAAGTAAGAAGTATGATTGATAAATGTTAACAAATTCTCTGTTAACCGATTTACTTAAAACTACCAGTCTCAGTGCCCGAGATTTTCAGATGAGGGATCCAAGAGCTTTGACAAGAGGTCACCTGAGTTAAGATGGTTGGGGTTGAGGTCCTGGGTTTAATTCCTGTCACTCTAACAGGATTTTTGCTCATAAACAAAACAACTCCACTTCCTAAGCCTAAGAAGATATAATATGGTCTATAGAGCATCTTATGATGAGTGCACTAACATCTCCCAATTCTCGATTTTACGAACCAAATTTGCGGCGATGACGTCATTATGAACGATTGTTTTGAACTACAAAAACACTTTATAATGTGTTTCAAAGTCTTGAGACATAATTTAAATTGTCACATGGGCTAAGAGAGAAAACATTCAACCCAATATAAAACTAATTTTAAAGCAAGAAATATCAATAGTTTCAGCCGAGATATATTATATTTGAGCTGTGCATGCTTGTATTGCTGTATAGTAAATCTCATTTTTGATCATTGGGGACACTATTCGCATGGATTCGCAACCTTTATGAAAAGAATAACAACACTCGTTTTGGGCATTATATTGTCATGTTGTCATTCAGAAATTGCTTCAGCTGAATATTCCACAGTGAGCACAAGTAAAGTATTATTTTTTTGCAGAAAACAGTAAAATCATATTTCATGACAAAATTTTTCTCTCATGGCACCAAATTTCTGCAGCTCCCAAAGTGCTTACAAACAGCAGACAAGCCCGTATCTGAATATATGCAGTGTTGAGTCTATTACTATTTCTCTATATTTCCTATGATGTGTCCTACTGGTACTCAAGCGTATCCATGTATTGTGTGACCAGTTACTGATGAGTACTAGTGTATGGTTTGTAGATCTCCTTAAGAAAATCTTTAGTAATCCAGATTTCAGTTACTAGTTTATTTTTTGAATAACCAGCAAGCAAAACCAATTTCAATGCTGGCTTTACTGGACATACTGTATTTGGCAATTTACAGTAAGCTTAGAATTTATAGAATATTGAAAATAGAAACCTTTTTTAAAGATTCTTTTTTTTTTTACATTAATGTTTAAAACATAAAGCATATTCATACCAAAATATCTGTACAGAATGTTTATCAATACAATTTATACACTAACAATTTATAGAATATGAAAGTGTAAAACCTATTTAAAGATTTTTTTTTTTAAAGATTAATTTTTAAATCATAAAGTATATTCATACAATATATCTGTACAGAATTGTTTATCAATACAATTGAATAGAAGCAATTTCGCTTCCGCTTGGAAATGGCTGACTCGAAGGCCAAGGTGGTGTATACTGAAGGATAAGTGCATAATTAATAGTGCATAGACAGGAAGTTATTCGACTTCTGAACAGTGCCAGCCAAGTGAAGTCCGAGTGCCTACTGACATGTGTTGTTCATGGTTATACCTTAGAACAAGAGCTTGTTCTACAAAATAAAAAAAAAAGTCAAGTGGTTTTATAATAACAATTATATTTTTTTAAATTATTTTTACAGCTCTAATGTATTAATGAATCCTATGATCTTAACACAAAATGTTAACAATTAAAATTTTTAACAAGTTTTATGGTTTTTTTTTTAAAATTTTTTTTAATTTACCCATATTATTAATAGTAATACCAATTGTTAATTGACCCCAACAGAAATAAGCTTGAAAATTGAATTAGCTTTTTGGGAATACCAATGCAGTGACTTATTTTATGTATCTGTTGTCAATTTGTATGCCTATCGTTCCTACATTGCTTCCGAATACAATCAAGTTGAGTAGAACACAAAATCAATTGAATATTAAATTTTTGCTTTGGGCAGACTCTAGAAATGTGCTTTAGAATTATGCCTAATACTTAAATCTGATAAACTAATCTAAGGTATGAAAAGGTTCAAACAGCAGTATGGTGACATGTGAAATACATTATAAATGAAATCTAATGTTATAAATCAGAAACACAACAAAATTGATGAATTTTGAAGTTACTACAAAAGAAAATAATGCCTGTTAATTGCATATTCTAACATATGGGACAATGCAGTAAAACCAACCAATACTATAATTTCAAAGCCTGTGAAAGGTCCAGATGAAATAATATAGAAAAAAAAATTATTTTGTAAACATACAACCCATTCTTCTATATCATTGTTTTTTTTTTTGTTATTCAATGTCAGTTGTTTTTTTTTTTGTTATTCAATATCAGAAATTCAACAAGTGTCAGACATTTGAAGAAGATCCCTGACACTAACCTATGGTAGTCATGTTTTTTAAGGTTTGAAAACAAAATGTGGTTGTCTGCTCTGCCCACCAACCAGCCTAGTTCGCTAACCTTCGGTCATCTTCTGGCTCTCAGCAACAAATGTAAACATCACTCAGCCTACAGACTTCAGAGCAGTGAAACATTTTGACGCTCACTACAGGAGGTTTTCTGACTCCATCTTGTTTACACGAAAAACAGTGTGCAATTTAGAAATAATTAACTAACACTAAATAACCTTCTGATAATTGTTTTGGGGTTTTTTCTATGTTTTACACAAACATTTCCTTTTGATTTTGTTCTAAAAATATGACTGAATTATCCTTGTAAAAATATGGCCGTTACTTTCATATTGTTTATTGTCAATCATGCTATTGTTGTTTAGATTGAGAATGTGTTTATGAAAATATTTTCGATTCAGTTTATATTTTCAGACTTCTAGTTCTACAGAATCTCTATTTATTGTACAGGACACATAATAATGGATTAATGGATAACTGTTACAGGCTATACAACATGAGTTAAAAAATGGTGGGCTTGGCAACATAAACTGTCTGAATAGTGTAAATTTTGTAGGTCTACATACTTGTTTGTCTATGGTCTACGACAAGAGAAAATAAATATACATTTTGCATCACCAATCATTAACATGAGGGTGGGGTAATATAACAGTATTCAAAATAAATATAAACAATCAATTAATGAAAGTTGTGGGCTTATGTGAGCTCTTAACAGCCTAGTATCAAACTATTGTAAATATGTAGAAGATAAAACTAATTTTGGTATTCATCCTTATTAATCTGACATCACCAATACCAATTAGTTCTACTGTTCATTAAGGGTCACTGCTTGGTCATGTGGTTTATGGAAAACAGAAAGCTTGACTATTTAAAAAAAAAGATTATATGTATCACTCAGCAAAATATTTTCTTCATGGACAATTTAACCCAAGAAAAAGGTCAATAAACTTTTGTGAGAAAGTTGTTTTGGTTGGAATAAGTTTATGGGGTACAAACCATAATGGACCTTTCCTGTGTGTCAATCAAACTCACCTACTAACCAATCAGATCAAGTCCAAGCTTTGTTTTGTAGGACTTAGCAACAATATCCAAGGATTGGCGCTTAGCGGCATGGCGCTTAGCGGCAAGACCCATTGGTTGACAGCTACAGACCAACAAATTTGGTACTGCATAGTAGTATAAGATTTGATGCAAGACTGAATAGTAATGTACAAGAATGGTACTGTCTCCTAATAAGCACGACTCTCGCATTAATGGCGCACCGAACATGACCTTTTTTCACGAATAAACGCTGTGGCACTAATTGTTGCACGTCAGAAAGGCCTTACATAACACATTTTAGCACTCATAAAATTTGTAATAAATACCTTTCTAGAACAAGCACCTCTCGAAAAATCTCCGCAATTAGGGCTCTAATAATTTAATAAGAACTGTCTGATTGTATTTGGTTATTTATGCTAATCTTAATGTATTTTATCATATTCATTAAACAACTCCAACAGCAGATTGTCATAAATAGCAGTTTTTTTTTTTTTCATTTTATGACATGGTCCGATGGGATTGAAACAATTATGCTAGGTTTTAATGTAGATCATTTACATTTGTTATAATTAAAACTGAGGCTATGTTCATTATTTGATGCCTGTTGAAAACAAGAAACATCCACTAATCTAACAGTTACACCACATGGTGAGAATTAAGCCATTATCTCACAGGCAATTTACGCTGCGTTAAGTCGCAGACTTTAAAGATAATATCATCGCATGGTGTGATAGTATTGAAGTCTTCTTAAATGATGCGATCTTGTTAGCTCAGAGAATATACAGATAATTCATCAATGTCAGTAAGTAACGAGCTGGCTAATCTAATAGTATCTAGTAATCAATCAACTCATTAATTGTTTATGTTCAGATGGTATATATTGTAAATGATTAAGATTCTATGAGATGTTGATACATTATTCCACTTCTTAATTTTTTTTGTATCTCAATTACAATTTTATTCTAGAAAAAAACAATATTTTTTTTTTACTTTTAAAAGTTATTAGTGACCGTATTAAATTTGGTATAGAAAACCCAATGTAGTAGGATATTGCTAGTGGTTTACAATCCAATAATTGAAATAAAAATTAATTAAGTCAATAAGTATGTCCAACTATCACCATTGAATAGTGCATGTTACTATACTGTCCCCCCTGTGGAAATGGTTTGGTAGTGGTAAATGTTTTCCATTCTGAAGGTAAGGGTTTCAATACCTTGCTGCGCGTTTTGATATTTTCTTTGTGTAAGACACTATATTGGCATTGCATCCCCTACCCAGGAATATAATGGTATAATCCTACTTCTGTCTGTGTTATTGGTTGGACATCTAGCCACTGAGATTACAAGAAATTCCATCTATGTCTGGGTCCAATTCCAATATGGAGCAATTAGAATGCAATGATACAGTAAAACAAGTTAGTAAAATATATTTCATATTATTATGAGAATCTGATACTACTGAATTTTTAATACACAACCATTTTTGGGTGGCTTAAATTATAGGTGGATCATTGAGTGGGTGAGGATCAAGGTTATCAAATCGGTGCGGTAGCCTAATGGGAGGGAAAGAAAAAGGGATTGGAAGGAAGAAATGAGAAGGAACAAGAGAGAAAAAAAAATAATGGGAATGAGATATATACAAGGAATGGGAAGTAGTGAAAAAGAGAATAGGAAATTGATGGGGAGGGATCTGTAAAATAGAGAGAATTTTATTAGAAAAGGATTTAGAAAGTAATAAGGACTATCCTGGTGGACAGGATATGATTGAGCCTTGGCCTGCCTTGACCTACCTTGATTATCCTATCGCCTTGACGTACACCGGCCTTATATGCAGCACCATCTATTATTGACACAAGCAGAAAAAATAAAATAATTTAACAATTAACAATAAAGTTACATTCAAATAATGCAGAATGCCAGTGCTTTTATGCGCTTACAAAAACAGAAAATAGAGAAGAAACAAAAAACAACTAAAACAAGAAATAACTTTTAAATTAATTTTCAGTGAAACAAAAGTAAACTGGCTATGATAAACTATAATTTTCTTATGAAACTAATTTTAAAATTCCACATACTTTATTCAGATTCTTTCTAGAATTATTTGCTACTGAACTTAACGCACACAACACAAGCCCCTACCCTGTCTGGACATTTGGGTCGAGTTTGGTCGTCAATTTATACTATAGTAGGGAATCGGGAAATACAAGCAGAGGAACTGCAGACATAATATTTCTAGCTGGGCTCACATCAAAACGACCAGATAGAAACATGAGTGAGGTTGTCAGTAATCAAACTGCTAAACTAGCCTAGTCATGGCAGATACCGTAAAATGCAAGAAAACAAATAAGTATAAGAACTCTGTAATAAATTCTAGAATGCAATAACATTAATCATGTTACAAGGACTTAAAAACACATATTTCATAATTTAGATTTATTACCGGACTTAATCATTTAAAGCATCGATCAGGCAGCAAAATATAAGTATGTATCAATGTAGATGATTGCACATACATCACTTCAAGCATATAATAAAAAGTGAATCAATAAATGTCCAGCGGCAACAAATAAACCATCTTAAATTGAATTTTAATGCTCTTCAATTTATTTCCTATATTAATCTTCTGCTTAATTTTTTCTATGTTCTTATTTATTATTATTCGAGGACAATATTTCATGTCACACATCAATATAACATAAGCAATAAAAGTGAAATTTTGTATATTTCTTTTTAAAAAAAAATCATATTTAATAATAGCAACAGTTTGGTGTTTTCTGTTCAGTGTTGTTAACTGTTCAGTGTTGTTAACTAAGCGAAAATTTGTTTGTATTTTCAATTGTACCAAACAACAAATTTCTTTCAAAAACAATAAATCTTGAATTAAATTAAAGTATGGTAGATGTTAAAAAAGTAAAAATGGATTGTTCCATTAACATTTTAGGGTTCTCCACGAAAGATTCAGCTAATTCAATTTAGTATCCCTAAAAATTGACATCTGATATTTTTTAAATATTGTAAACTATTTCATAAAGAATTAAAGATAAATGATATATAGCTATTCTGACAGAAATGTTAAGTACATGGACTGAATGGATTTGTCGCCTTGGAGACGTTGCTTGCTTCCCAGCCAGAGTTCATGGAGTCAATCCTAGTAAAATGTTAGGATTTTCCTTAAGGACCAAACTACTCCAAAAGCCTGTAAGGGACATGAACTGAATGTTGTTATAATTCTATTGCACTTGGTATATTAAGTCTTTTTCCCACACACACATACACACCTATGCAGCTGGCATTGAACGTTAGCGTGCCAAAAAATAAATGGAAACTAAATCTCATGTGTGTTAATTCTCTTATTTTTCCTGTCATTGTTTAGATTATCAGGACTGCACAACTCCTTTTAATATTTCATATTGAGGTTCTAAATATTACTATTAACAAAATTATTTTTTTTAAGCAAATTCTGTCATCTTTTGTATAAATTCATTGTTATAAAATAATAAAAATAGGTTCTGAAAGTCAAAGTTACAATTATTAATTATTATATAATTAATAACTAAAAAGCCTTGGTGTGATATAGTAGGTAAAACTGACATATTAAACAGTTCACAAACAGGCAATTCTACAGAAACTAATGCTAAAAATCATACTTACAATCTTTAACATTTTGCACAAATACCGGATTGTCCCCGCTGACAGTCAGTCCATATCCTCGTTCATCTTTTTGAACGATCACAGACCGCTGTATCAGCTGACCACCTGAAAAATGATCGGTCAGATAATGTGAATAGTTTGTCCAATGCCAAATAATATTATTATTAATATTTTATTTCTAAAAGCCAAGTGAACACAGCGTCATGATGGACACCGGACACTTACTCTACACCAATACATATAATTGAACTTTTGTACTATTTTTAGATGTTCTCTTACATGATATCAAAAACAGCAGACAACTCAAAAAATAATATATTATAATAATACGAGAAACATGTTAGAGCTATACCTCGGATAAAAAGGATGACAAATAGTTCAGAAAATACAATTTTTAGGAAATTTGTATCTTATATTTATCAATTTGTTAATCCTACCAAATATGTCTAGTAGTATTTTAAGAATTGTTAATTACTCCATATGTCCATCTGCTGAACACTGTTCCTTTCTAATGTTCAGCTGTCTCCTACTGGAATACATTCCTACTTACCAATTGAATCAATATAAGGTTCCATGAAACTGGTCCTCTTTTGCTGGTCTTTGATTTAGCCTACATGTAGTATATCCCTTAGCACCTACAAAAATAATAATAAAGTATTAAAATAATTTCCATAGAGGTAAATAATTTCATTTTGTATGCATGACTTTAATAAATGTATTGTGAAGACTTTATTGATCATCATACAGGAGAGAATATCTAAAAGATGTCTAATTTTTGAATGGTCTTGATATATAATGATCAAATTATTATACATTAGGCAGTGTTTATTTAGCCAGTAGTAAGTACTGTATACATTTGTTCTAAGAGCGTTTCTGTGATGATTAGTCAGGGCACACACAAAACCTAAAATTGAGAATAAGCAAATTTGAGTTTTAATCGACAAAATAACATTATTCTAGTTCCTTGAATTGCCTCCTCAGTTCCAGACTTTGTTTATTCAGTTTGTTAAAATGAAAGCCATAATAAATACACTACTTGTTAGATACAACTATAGTAATATTAAAATATTAAGTGATAATATTAAATATTGGTAATACTATGGAACTCCATGGCCTTTAAAACAGAACTAGTTTATTCAACTTGCGAAAAAAGAAAATTAATGGCAATGCACATTCATGTGGCATTACTGATGAGCCCATATACATCAGTGATAATCCAACTGAAAATATGAACATCCTGGGTTTTCTACTATTTGATTGGCTGATGTACACTAAAGCCAGGCATTGAACACTCACTGCACATTGCTACCACATGACCACGTGTGAAAAAGCATGTGTGAAAAAGAAATGAACCTTTTATTAATTTTATTCTTTCAGGTAAACAGTGTCTTAATTTACATTAACACAGAAATGGTTTGAAATTCATGAGTTTTTTTTATTAAGAAAAAAGTCTGAGGAAAGCAATTAAGTTGTTTACCTAAATAATGGATAGAAAAGGTCAGTATTATTCCATCATTGTTTCATCTTTTTCTCTTTCTTTTTGGAATAATTTGGTCATCAAAGCCATCAATGTAATTATTACACTTTACAGTATTAGTACTCTCTCTTTAGTTTGTTTTAATGTCTTTTATTGATTCAGTATAAAATGTCTTGAAATCCTAATCATTTGCTTGCAGGTTTTATCATGATAACTATTTAATAATAGCACTGATGTTATTACTGACTGTACCAAAATGCTTTTATCCTCTCCAAATATAAAATCTTTACCATTTATCATCACAACATTCAAAATACAATGACATTATTTTGCTTTTAATATCATGCCCATCAAGCCTCAAGATGCTTCACAACCTCACTGGTACCAGCAACAATCACACTACTACAACACCCTCTGCTCCTAAGAGAGCACTTATATAGACACAGATGAACATTCATCCTATCGACTAAATATCAACGTGAATATGTATATTAATTACTACTACTGTTATGGCAATTTTGTATTATTTAGATATTTAGCTATCTTTAATGTATTCTTGAAGTACATACAGTATTTTGCTTGGCTATGAAATGAAAACTAAATAAATTATACACAACAATAAACAATTATTGTAATCAGCTCTAATTAGCTCTAATTCAATCAATAAATAATCTTCATCAAAACATTTGTTGATTGAATGTAAACAAAGGATATTAAAGCATGTCAATGACACAAGATAATGATAAGGTCATTTGGATACATGCATCTAAATTTTCTTTACATAGGCGAACCATACTATCTTGTCATTAAAATATAACATAGGAATAGCAAAACAAGCCTGTTTACTAGTAGTACAGTGGTAGTAGGTTATATACATTTACAACTTATTGTAAATGGATTGCTTGTTCTTTTGGTATATTTTTCACTGACACTGACTTTCTTCTTGAACATCTTTGTTTTGTAATGCTATTTCATGTTGTATTCTTTTGCTTTGCATTCTAAGTTTCATTTAAATATTTAACAGTTGGCAACATGCCCTTGTAGAATAGCACCCTCTGGGTGTGACAAGCTTCCGTGTTAAGATAAAGATTTAATAATAAATAATTAACAATAATACTCAAAGTAGTAATATCACTACAGGCGTCGCATACACAATGCTGCAGAGCTCAAGACTATTTTAACACATAATTTGTATAGGCCTGAAATACAATAAATTCAGAACCAATAGCTATCAAATTTGCTGTTTAAAAATATAAAACTAGAATCCATAATGTTTTAATCTGCCAAAACAGTGAGTGTTTAGTCTAGAATTACTAAAAATTATTTCTTTCAATTTCAAAAACTTGATGACACATCTTGTACTATGGGTACACTGACTCAAATTGGGTCATGTAGTTGCGGTCAGTGACATGCAAAGAGTGTAAGCACAATAGAACATTTTGAATACAATCAGCGAGGCATACTTAACACTCAGCAGCTTCATACACTCCTCTTGTTTTTCAATTACTCTTTGTTGAGCCTATTGTCTTAAATCACTATGATCAATATGGTTCCTGATCTTATCATCTTACAATGAGACTTGCCAAGGTACAAATGCATCTGTTTCATGAGGGCCTTAAATATTAGCTAAGCTAGAAGGATTACCTTCTATAAATATGGTGAAAAAAGAGTATTTCTGAAGGTTGTACAATGGTATAACATACAGGTATATCAGTATGATGCAATAATTAAGCTTTTCTTTCTTTTACTATAAGGAAAAAAAAAAACAAAAAAAAACAAAATCTAATGTTTCTGATTTGTTAAAAAAAACCATAAAAACATGAGACCCTCATATTTTTTGCTTTAAATATAAAGATGGCCATTATCAAATTACACAGACCCATGCCCCATTCAGACTAAGGAAATGACAGATAGGCCTGACAATGAAGTTTAGATTTCTATTGACTGTATTTTCTGGGTACAGGTCTCTGTTTAAAAAAGGATCCTTCCAATTAAAGACCACTTCTATGGTCCCAAATTGTTTTAACAATTGTCTTTTATCTATTTTATTCTCTTAGCAAAGCTACTAACTAAAGACTATAGAGACATCGGTCCAATAAATGGTCTTTAATTTGAGGGAAACCGGTAACTTAATGAGCACTATTTTAACATCCAGCAAGTATTTTACACACTTACCAATTCACAGGAAGCAACTATGTTGCGCTCTAGGCTCCTATTTAATCGTATTACGAGGTAATACAGAGAAAGCTGATTTTAGTTGTTATGAAAACCTGCAATCTTATTACTGAACTTGAACATACTGTTGGATCCTAGGACTAGAAAGCGACAAGCACATAGATAACCAGAGCTCTTCATTTCTCTAGCTACGTGACTAGATCTGAGATGATTATCACAAACCAAACCGTCATTACCAAAACATTTGTAAACACATTCTCACTACACATCTATCAACATCTTGACTAATAAACCTACACATCCATTCATTTCTAAGAGAATGTTGATTTCCACCATGATGGAAAAGTCTCAATAATGGTACTGATCGCCATGGTGATGATACACTTACTATCAATCTTCAACACTGTAAATGATATCGTTGCACCATTTCAGTGGCAAATGTAGTAATCAATTCTAAGTTAGTAGTATGTCTATACAATCATTGATTCCCACAATCTGTTAGACTAATCAAGAGCATGTGTAAACAAAATAAAGACATGCAAGAGTTTCTATGGGAATATGGTAATATTTTTAACGGATAGATTGCATCATTTATGTAGTATAAAGAAAATAAAATAATGAATATTAAATTAAATTAATTATTAGATGAACTATTTACTCAAAGCAATAAAAGTTGCAATGCAATTTGAAATACAGTAGAACCCCCCACTTTGGGACATCCCTATTAAAGGGACATCCCTATCAAAGGAACATCCCTATTAAAGGGACACCCTTACTTAGGAGACATTCTTATTAAGGATACTTCTACTAAGAGGACATCCCTATTAAGAAGACATTTTTTAGGCACTGAACGAGGGAAAGTTTATCTTTTAAAATTAATGGCTAAAACCTACTCTATTAAGGGGACCCTCCCTATTATGGGGATACCTTTTTTGGTCCTGAAAGTGTCCTCTTAATAGGGATCCTTTACTGTACTATCTGGATTGGCAGATGGCTAAATTTGAACCTCTTGGAAGAGTGGTATTAACTAATTGAAAAAACTACCCAGAATAAAGATTCTTATTGTTTCTGGAATCAAAGTGCGAGTCGTAGTGTTTAAATTTCAACAAGAATAGAATAAATTGACATAAGGCTAAACTTCCGTTTCAGAAAAGATCCTTTCATCATGTCCCCTTCACGTTACATATCTATTATTTCCCCTTCACACAGCAATTACTGAACTGGTAAGGTTATCATTTCAGGTCACCGAGTTACCTTGTCAATAACTGTTAATAATCACAGTGAATATCCAAGCCAGAATGATACGCAGCTAGTAAATATTGAAATTTGTAAGCTGAGCAATGTATAGACTTGCGTTACAGTAGGCCTATTTGAGGGGATTACAGCCTCATTTCCCTTATTATTTTGCTTGCAACTTATAAATCTACAACTTTTGTACATTATTCAATTTTACATAAAATGCAGAGGAAAATTGCGATATCCATTACTTTCAACCTACAGATAGATTTCTAGGTCAAAAAGTCTACATGTGGCATAATATTCCCACACACGCCCTACTTTTCAGTATTATAAAAATATTGTGTTAAATTATTGACATCCAAGTCCAAAGAGGTGAATGCTTCACCACAATACAATAAGTAACCATACAACAATGTTACATTTTAAATAACTTCTGGTAAATTGACTGCAAGGTATCAAATATCTACAGTACTGGCATACCCTTTATTATATATACTATATATTACAGTAGAACAGACAATTCTTTGTACAATTTATTGTGAGATATGTAAGATAAGATTGCCCATAGAGATTATAATAAAAAGGTCACTGCATATTCAATTATCTAATACATGCTAAAATTAACATAGAATGCCTCAGAATTACTGAAACCTAAACTAATACAAATAATTAGTTATTCAATGAAATGCCAAAATAGAATAGTAAATTAAATTTCTTTAAAGTTCAGTATGCCAAGCTGGCCCT